CAGTTAGTTAACATATGGTGTAATATTAGTTTCAGAAGTAGAATTTAGTGATTCATTGTTTACATATAACATCCAGTGCTCTGGGTGCCTGGGTGGTTCAGTTGGTTGGGTGTCTGCCTTTGGCTTGGGTCATGATCCCAGGGTCCTGGGATTGAGTCCCACATCGGGTTCCCTGCTCAATGGGGAGTCTACTTCTCCCTCTGCCCTTCCCCCCACTCTCTCTCTCGAAAAAAAATAAATAAAAATCTTAAAAAAAATAACACCTAGTGCTCATCACAAGTGCCTCCTTAATACCCATCACCATTTAACCCATTCCCCTGCCCACCTCCCCTTCAGCAACCCTCAGTTTGTTCTCTATAGTTAAGAGTCTGTTTTATGGTTTGCCTGTCTCCCTTTTTTTTCTGTATGGTCATCTGTTCCTGAAATTCCACATATGAGTGAAATCATATACATTACCTGATTTAAAAGTTGACTATAAAATTACAGTAATCAGGACACAGTGATATTGGTGTAAGGACAGACTTATAGATTAATGGAACAAATTAGAGTCTAGAAATAAAATCATACATATATGCTCAAATGATTTCTAAGGTGTAAAGATAATTTACTAGGGAAAACAATACTCTTCAACAAATGATAGTAAAACAAATGATTGGATATTGCAAAAAAATTAAAAAAAGAACTTAGATCCTTATCTCACACACATATAAAAGTTTACTCAAAATAGATTATAGACTTAAATGTAAATCATAAAACTATAAAACTTCTAGAAGAAAACAGATTTTCTAGGAGAAAATCTTTGTGACCTTGGGTTAGGCAAATATTTCATACATATGACACAAGAAATAATCTACAAAAGATAAAAGTGATAAAATGGGCCTCATCAAAATTAAAAGTTTTGCTCTTCAAAAGACACCAAGAAGAAAATGAAAAGACAAGTCACAGACAGGGAGAATTCATTTGCAAAACATATATCTGATAAAGGACTTGTGTCCAGAATATACAAAGAACCTTTAAGACAAACAACCCAATTTTTAAAAATGGAAAAAATCTGAATAGATACATCATCAAAGAAGATATATTAATGACATATAAACACATGATAAGATGCTTGATATTATAAGGCATAGAGGAAATGCAAATTAAAACCACAATGAGATACTACTACACTTCTGCTAAAATGGCTAAGATCAAAAAAACTAACAATATAAGTGACCATGTGGAGGAACTGAAACCATCATATATCACTGGTGAGAATGTAAAATGATACAATCACTTTGGAAAACAGTTCGGCAGTTACTTAAAAAGTTAAACATACACTTACCATACACTCAGCAATTCCACTCCTAGGTATCTACCCAACAGAAGTAAAAAAAATATGTCCACACAAAAACTTATATGTGAATGTTCACTGCCAAAAACTAGAAACATTTCAAATGTCCATCATCTAGTGAATGTATAAACAAAAGATTCATCCTTAAAATGATATACTACTCAACAATAAAAAGGTATAAACTACTGAAATATGCAATATGAATGAACCTCAAAATATTATGCTAAGTAAGAGAAGCTAGAGACATAAGTCAATATATTATATGATTCTATTTATATGAAATTTCTAGAAAAGAAAAAAACTATAGGTTATAGACAGAAAAAAGATCTGTGGTTGCTTGGAGCTAGGAATGGGAGCAGGGATTGACTATAAATGGGCATGACAGAACTTTTTCCAGTGATGGAAATGACAGAATATTGGATTCTGGTGATAGTATACACCTGTATACATTTACTGCACCTGTATACATTTACTGCATATCATCAATCTCCATATTTAAAAAAAACTTTTTCGGGGTGCCTGGGTAGCTCAGTTGGTTAAGTAGCCGACTCTGGCTTTCAGCTCAGATTATCATCCCAGTGTCCTGGGAGCAAGCCCCATGCCCGGCTCCACGATCAGTGGGGAGTCTGCTTGAAGATTCTCTCTTCCTCCTTCTCTGCCTCTCCACCCCCTCAGCCCCACTCATGTGCACATGCTCTCTCTCTCTCTAAAATAAACAAATAAATAAATCTTAAAAAAAAAACACAAACTTTTTTGAGTCCTGTAGTTATGTGATTATATTCTACATAACTTTCTGGTATTCATCCACACCAAGAAGAATATGGGAATATGAAATTCTACATTGTCCAAAATACTTTTAAGACAGTAAGTAATTTCATATGGTTCAACCTAAATATTCAGACAACAATAAGAATGGAGTAGATGAGACAAGATTAATATCAGGTAGGCAAAATTAATGAAATAGGAGAGGAAATTTTAATGGAATCTGTATAGACAGAAATCAGAGAGGGAATTTCTAACTTCAACATGTAACTTATGGTCATTGATGGAGACTAGTTTCCAATCTAACACCACAGTTAGGAGTCACATTTCTAACCAATTAGAATTCTAGTCATTGAGCAGAATATAGAACCTCAAGCTGATCATACTGGTTAGATCCAGAGACAGGAGGAGAATTGAGATTGGTCAAAGGACACCTGCTCAAAATTAAAGTTAGAATTTTTACACAGATTTGAGGATTTATTCACATATTACTTGTGTAGTTAAAATAAATAGCTTTCAAACTAGTATTACTAGAGCCTCATAGTTCACTGATTTTCTCAATGCCAAATCCTACTCTTCTAGCCAAGTTGTACAAATTCAATTGCTTTTAAGGGTGAAGTGGCTAATAATAGGAGTAAAGTTGAATATACTTTAGGCTTACAGGCATTCAAACTCAAAACTATAAAAATCACTGTGCAGTTTAAACAAAGCACTTCTCAACTTTTAAAAAACTTTGCCTTTCTTTGATAGATAGTAAAGATTGCAAACATTTCTTTAAAGTTATTTAAAATTTCACAACACATGAAATAATTGAGACTAAAACCAAATCACAGCAATTATATTACTGAAAATGTTTTTCTGAACTGCAGTGGTCCATTACCCTTCCCTACCCCATTTAAAATTATCCCCCCTAAGGGGTGTCTGGGTGGCTCAGTCAGTTAAACTCTGCCTTTGGCTCAGGTCATGATCCCAGAGTCCTGGGATCAAGTCCCGCATCAGGCTCCCTGCTCAGCAGGAAGCCTGCTTCTCCCTCTCCCTCTGCTGCTCCCCCTCTACCCGCTGCTTGTGGTCTCTCTCTCTCAAATAAATAAAATCTTTAAAAATAAATAAATAAATAAAAATAATAATAAAATAAAATTATTGCCCCTAGATCTTATCATCACCTGGAACTTCAGCATCTCTAAAATTTAAAAACCAGTAACTTTGTAAATACAGATTGCCTCATTTTCTTATTGCCAGTATAGTGGCCCTTCAACTTCACCAAAACCTTCACCCGTATCTCTTTTTACTCATTTTGTTAGCCTCCTTTTCTTCAGCAAGTCTACTTAGCAATTCCTAGAAATGACTTGTAGTCAGGGCATTTTGACACTTGCTATAACTGTTTTCCCAAATATCAATAACAAACTCTCTCAAACTTTTCTGTAAATACACCACATCATTCGGAGTTCCCTAAATAAACCACAATCACATTCTGTACTTTCTGCATAAAACAGAAAGTTTTTGTTTTTTTTTTAAAAGATTTTATTATTTATTTGAGGAGGGGTGGGGTAGAGGGGGAGGAAAAGAGAGAATTTCAAGCAGACTCCCCACTGAGCACAGAGCCAACAAGGGGCTCAATCTCATGACCCTGAAAATCATCACCTGCACCAAAATCAAGAGTCAGAGGCTTAACCAACTGAGCCGCCCAGGGCCCCTCTTTTTATTGTTATTCATACCTAAAGACCAAGCTCAAGCCACAGGTCCTCTAAAAGCTTTCAGAACAAAGCTTTTTCCCCCACCTGAAACCAAGCCAGGCTTAGTGTTCTCTCCAGCCCCAATTCCTACAACCTCAGCTGTTTCAACTACACACATATTTAATAAGCATACAATTTGGGAATATTTATATTTAATATTAATAAAGGATTTTAAAACTAGAAGAAGCCTTAAAGATCATTTCTGCTAGCCATTTTACAGACTAGTCATTATATGATATAGCCATAGCTATCAACCAGATCTTATAAAAAAAAAATAGATCTCACTGTAAATAAACCTGACAATAGAAAAACTTTCCAGTTCAACCTCTGCAAATAAACATTAAACTGATTCCCAGGAGACTTTCTCAATTTATGGATCTGTGACTATCTGTCAATCCACCAAAGATCTGTCCTTAACATAAGGAAGGAGTGAGGGTGAAGAGCTTGCAGCTTTAAGGTTAATTTCACGTATTGTAAAAACAGTTTGTCAATGGGCTGCTTAGGACTTCCAGACCATATTTCCCATAGTAAATGTTATACTTGATACAATCTCAACTGTATTTGATTACTACATAGATTATATATAAAGACTTAGGCTGAAAATTAGATTCTCAAGTGTAGCCCAGAACCTTATACAACATGCCCATATGTGTGCTCTTGCTCAACCCATCCAAGATGGGATACTTTCTCATTCATTTTCTCCTCAGTTGTTGTTAATATTTTGACTGGGGAGAAAGGGAAGAGAAAAAGATTTAAATATTGTGTGAAAGGGGAAGTAAGAGGCATAACAAGTTAAGTATTTAGTCAGACAGAAAATACGTTTTCTTTCCTTATAAATAAGATAAGAAGGGGCATCTCCACCCCTTCTACTATTTGGAAATTCTCTTAGGTTAATAAACTCTGCTTTTAAAAAGTAAATAATGTCTCTAAGCCCCACCAGCAGAAGCATGAGGTAAACCCTATTCATAATTTGAAGGCTCTTCCTAACTATGCATCATTTAGTAAACATTTCTAAAAGATGTAAAACTCATATTAAGCAAAGGAACTAGATGTTTAGCTTTCATAAGCCATTCCAGTACCATATTTCTTAAAAGCTGCATAGAAAGAAAAACAACAAAAATTTCACTGACATATACCTTACTAAATCACACACCTATTTATCAAAACCTTACCTGGAATGTCGGAGACTGTCCTTTTTGTTCTTTGCAGAACACAATGTGCATTCACAGCCAACTGCATGGGGCTTGGGTAGAGATACATCCTGTTTTAACAGCATTGTAAGAATTTCATAGTTGTTACGATGAGCAGCTAAAATGACAGGTGCAACATCCATAGTTGTTGAATACTCAGGATTCTGAATTCGCTCCATTAGTTTCTGAAAAATATTTATATAAATGTCCAAAATTATTATTTGTGACTTCAAAACAACATATTTATCTGTAAATGAAATGAAAAAAAAAACCAGAAGGCACAAAGAACACAATAATTATTTTTAAAAATATGATAAACATTTTACCAGGACTAAATTTTTTTGAAACCTGAAAATTTTAATTAATAAATTCAATATAATCATGACAGACAAAAATCTTCAATAGAACATATTCATACAACTAGAGTTTTGTTTTCCTAACAAAGAAGAAGTGAGGATACCTAGACAAATACTTTAGAAAAAAGTGTTTAATTTTCACAAGATTATGGAAACATGCATGACAAGGATAAAGAAGAATCTTAGAAAAAGAATATAAAGGGAAAAACAGAAATGTTAAAAATAAGCAGAGTACAAATGCATGAAAAAAACTTAAAAATTCCACCTTTATGGCAAACCTTGCCACATTAATAGCAATGAAGCTGCCTGAAAGGGATAAGTAAATAGGAAGCACTCTTCATTTTATGTAATTCTTTACATATTCTCAATCCTTACCTATACTATTTCCTGTTACAAATGCACAAAAACACTAACAATAGTAACTATTATTAATGAGTCCAGGACTGTTAGGCACCTTACATTTATCATGTCATTTAATCCCCACAATAGTCTGCAAAATTGAGCATTGTAATCCCCATGAAGAAACTGAGGCTCAGAGAAGTTAATGTGCCCAAGCTACACAACACAGTGGCAAAATGCAGATCAGAACTCAGGTCTGTATTACACCAGAGCCTGAGCTGCTTTCCCTACATGGGCTCATGGGCCTGGTGATGGCATGACATGAGGAAAGAAACATTAGTAAATAAAGAGTCAGCGTTAAATAAAAAGGTTGATTATTGTATGACTATTGTATATTCTTCCCAATACTTCTCACTTTTTCACATGGGTTTTCCTGAGAGCTGTTTGATTCCATTGTATAAGCTTATCAAGTTCACAGGGTTTTTTTGGTAATTTTTATTAACATTATAAAAGTAGTACACACATACTATAAAATATCTGAAACATATAGAAAAGCAGAAAGAAGAATAAAAATTCCCATATCCCTACTATGCAAAATACATTTTACAGTATCTCCTTCTAGTCCTTTTTCTACTATACCACCTTTTAAGGACATCTTTGGCATAGTGATTTGGCATCAATGATTAAAATCAATGGTCCTTAATATTTTGAAACTCAAGGACCCTTCTAATAATTTCATAACCAGAATTTCTGGGAAATAAAATTCATGTATAGAACTAGCATGTAATTTAAGAAAATTCATAGACCTATGTTCAAGATATTTTGTTTTGCTTATTTAAATAACACTACCACAAACATCTTTATGAATACAGCTTTTTTGAAATTTAGGATAAACTCATTAACCACAGAACCCCTGAACTGCAATAATAGGTCTAAAGGCCATGAACAGTTTTGAAGCTTTTGATATATATATTACTAAAGTTCTTTCCATAGGTTATATTTCCAATAATACAGGATTGTACCCATTTCACACTCAAGGTTTACTCACCAGCACTAGGCATGGTCATTCCCAATTTATGAGTGAAAAAAACTATCATGAAATATTACTTTCCTTTCCTTTGATTACTAGCTAAGTTTTAATATTTTCTGACATACTTAGCTTTTTCCCCCTTCTTTTATGAATAGTTTCTTTATATACTTCCCATTTATTTATTGGAAACTGTAAATTAATGAATTTATTTAAAAATAACAAAGAAATCTAAAAATTTAGCCCGTTCTCCCCTTATTACTGGTTATAAAGAGAAGAAAATTATATTTAAATGTCTTCATTTTTCCTATAAAACATACTTGACTAAATGAAAAACATTATTAGAAGATTAAAATGCATTATTTCATTGCTCATAATATAATCTATATACTATCAAAAAAACCCCACCTGTATTTGAAAAATCAATATTTATCAAAAGACAATTTTGATAAGCTTAAGAATACAGAATAAATTCACTGAAATGGTAAAAAAAAAAAAGTATGTAAAAATATTTCACATTGCCTGTCAAGAAGTATTAGGGCTGTTAAAATGTGGTCTTACTGTCACTAGAAATACTCAAGCAAAGGATGATAACCCTTTTTGTTAGAGATGAAGTACAAAGTTTTCTTTGGCTGAGGGATGAAGACTGCCAGAGCCTTACAACTTAAGAGTCAACTGGTGGTGCTAATGGTGATGAAATAATGTCAGTAGGTTGCTCCAATACCCTGGCATACTACACCCCACCCTCCCTGCCAAGAAAGTAAACGGGTAAAAAGGCTACAAGGTGGAATAAGTATACCGAAATATAACAGTGACTGCAAGACAGATGACAGAAAATCGAATAGGATTCTAGACATTTCTGATCATTTGGACAGGTGCTATATTCTTAGCCTTTTTTTCCCCTCTGTTCTTTTTGGTTTCTTATCACCACTTAAACTAGTTGGTACTATCCTCTGGAGAAAGTCATGCTTACAGAAACTTTGTAATACCTAAATGAAAGTAAAGATTTCAGTTAATATATGGTAAAGTATGCAATTTAGCAGAGCTTCTCATTGTTCTCAGATAATGGCAGATAATGCACAACCGATTTATAATTCTATCTTAAAACAATATTTTTTCTTCAGAGGATAGCCAGTTTACACTACCAGCAATTATTTAAAAACTGCTTGTTTCACTACATCCTCACCAATAATGAATGTTATAATTTTATGTATATATAATTTTATATATATATATAAATATATAACAATATCTCATTTTAAAGTAGAATTTATTTGGGGTGCCTGGGTGGCTCAGTCGTTGATCATTAGTGACTGTCTTCCTAATTACAAAGGCAATAAAGAAAAATAAAAGGAGTAAGAAAAAAATACCCTTAATTTAGCAATGAGATGACTGCTGTTAGGTAACATTTTGCTACATTTCCATATAGTTCTTTGTCTGTCCATCTTTTTAACCTTGGATCATATTATATGTCCAGTTTACTATTCCCATTTTTTTCACTTCCTATGTCATATTTATCCAGGTTCCTAAATATTCTTTTAAAAATACCATTTTCATATGTACGTAATTTTTATTATTTCCAATCTTTTATTTGGGGATGTTTAAATTGGGTCACATGGTTTTTTCATTGCTACAAGTAAGATCACAATTAACATTCTTCTCCCCATTTCTGACCAGTTCCTAGAAGGGGAAACACTAGATTAAAGAATATGAACATCTTTCTTATTTATGATATACTCTGCCAAACTGCTTTCCAAAATACCCTCCCCACCAACTTGTATTAGACTATACCACTCCCTTGCCATCAATGATAATTATTTTTAAAAATCTTTACTAATTTGCATTATCAACAATAGCCAAACTATGGAGAGCCCAAATGTCCATCAACTAATGAATGGATAAAGATATATATAATGGAATATTACTCAGCCATTAAAAGAATGAAATCTTGCCATTTGCAATGATACGGATGGAGCTAGAGTATATTATTTTAATATATTAAGTGAAATGAGTCAGTCAGAAAAAGACAAATACCATATGATTTCACTCATATATGGAATTTAAAAACAGATGAAAGTATGGGAAGGGGGGGAAAAAAGAGAGAGGGAAATGAACCATAAGAGACTCTTAATGACAGAGAACAAACTAAGGGTTGATGGAAAGAGGTGGGTGGGGGTGGGCTAAATGGGTGATGGATATTAAGGAGGGCACTTGTGATGAACACTGGGTGTTGTATGTAAGTGATGAGTTACTGAAATCTACTCCTGAAACCAAATTGCACTGTATGTTAACTAACTAAAATTTAAACAAAGAAATAAAATAATCTTTGCTAATTTGATAAGCAAAAATTAGTATTTCATATCTTATTAGTAGTAAATTTTAATATCTTATATTTTCTTTTCTGAGATTTTTTTCATGTCCTTTTCTGATCTTGGTGTTTTTCATCAATTTGTCAATTATTAAGATTATGAATTTGTGACATATTTTGAAAATATCTTTGCCAGTTATTCATCTGCTTTCTAAATTTTGCTCTATATCTGAATTCCAGAAATTTAACTTCTATACAGCCAAAGGCTGTGCCATTGCTTTTTATGATCAGAAAGTCTTTCCACTCATAATCAGTTAAATATTCACCTACATTTTCTTCCAGTTTTATGGTTTCACTGTTTATATTTAATTGTTAAATCCATCTGGAAACTGTATTTTCAACCTAATCTATAGAATGTCCAAAACTAAAAATATTGGTCCACACTGACAAGATTACGGAAATATCACTAATTTTAAAAAGGTTTCCTGAAGGGGCGCCCGGGTGGCTCAGTCGGTTAAGCGTCTGCCTTCGGCTCGGGTCATGATCCCAGGGTCCTGGGATCGAGCCCCGCATCGGGCTCCCTGCTCAGCGGGGAGCCTGCTTCTCCCTCTGCCTCTGCCTGCCTGCCTGCCTACTTGTGCTCTCTCTCTCTCTCTCTCTGTCAAATAAATAAATAAAATCTTAAAAAAAAAAAAAAAGGTTTCCTGAAAGCAAAATTAATTATTCCTGCAAGTATCTACTTACTTTAAGGCAATATTTTACAGAGTAAAAAAAATCCATTTCTTTAAAACAAAATAAATTTGGGGGAAGAAAAAAATGGGAATGGGTCAGGAGATCTATTTTGGTTTAAAAATCCAAATTAATAAATATTTAAGAGTACTAACTACTATAGTTGGTCTTGATGATCGTTTTGGTCGATGATTAAGTAGTATATCAACAGCTCCCACTACTTCAGAGTCGATTGCCACCAAAAGTGCATCTGCGGACTTTAAAAAAAAAAAAAGGTTAAAAATGAAAATGGAGGATAAAAAGGTAAACTATTTATTTTTACTAATTCTTAAATAAAACTATCTTTAAATTTAAGCTGTATTATGTACAGTAATACTAAATTTTTAAAAATTTAGACTGTCCAAAGAGTACATTTGCTTGCCTTAGCAGTACTTTTGCGTACACACACAAATTTCTGTGCTGATTTCACTGCATAAGCTGGTAAAAAAATAAATAAATAAATGCTTGCTAGAAGGGTTTATTAATGGAACAGTGCTGATCCATGGAGTATTCAAAGCTGAAATTTTTTTTCAAGACCTTTACTTGTGAACTTTGAACCAAAAAGAATCTTAACATTCCAGATCTATTAAAGAAATTGCCAAGAACTATTACTACTGGTAAAGGATTATGTTCATTCTAATAAAAATGATCATCAGGGGCGTCTGGGTGGCTCAGATGTTTAAGCGTCTGCCTTCGGCTCAGGTCATGCTTCCAGGGTCCTGGGATCGAGCCCCACATAGGGCTCTTGGCTCAGCGGGGAGCCTGCTTCTCCCTCTGCCTCCCCCCACCCGCTCATGCTCTCTCTCTGTATCTCTGTGTCTCAAATGAATAAATAAAATCTTTAAAAAAAAATGATCATCAATGCAACCATGAGGATAAGGGGCGCCCTCTGGTATCAACTTTAAAACCTATATGGCTAACTGAAATGTTACAAATTTGACATTAATATTAGCAATCTTATCAAGTAAAAGCTGCAAAAAACTAGGCTGCCAATGTTCCTGGAGAAAAGAGGGAGAAGTGACTTTATAGTTTTACTCCCAAACTATCATTCATTTTGAAACTCCAACTCTGACGGGAGGAAAAAGTAAATAGAAGCTGAGCATTTGGGACTTTCCAACACTCTGTAACAAAGTGTACAGTCCATACTTGGCAACTGTGACATCGGGTTTTTGGGTTTCTTTTTGTTTTGTTCTATTCTGTTTTGTTTTAAGGAAAACCATAAAGGCAGAAGGGAAACATGGGGACAAATAATGATTTAATCTAAGAGAGTGCCCTGATTATTTTCAATCTGTACATTTTAAAAACTGTTATAATCTTTAATAACCATTTACATCAACACTCTCTCTTGAAAATGAAACCATATCAGATCTTTAGTATTCTTGGAGCTGAAAGGAATAAAGCTTCCACAAACGTTATCTAGATGTCAAAAATAGGACTAAAAACGACTTTGACTAAAAACGACGACAGACTTTGGATACCTAAAAATAGAAATAATCACCCCAAAGAACTGGGGGCCACATTCAACCATTAGGAACTGCCTATGTATTTCCACAGAAAAAACTCCCCACCCCAATGAGAAGTTTAATTTTTTATCCCTTAAAACTTTTAAGGTTCACTGGGTTGTAGCCTATTCTTTAAATCTAGCATCATTATTCTTCTGCTTTGCAAACATTTCTCTTCAATTTTTACCATACTTGGTCAAGTGGAGCAAACAAAAAGAATTGTGTTCATTACTAAACATTTCATTTATGATAAATTTTAACCTATAAAGCTAACTATATAGTAATGCTACTGCTCTCCAAGTCAAAACACCAGTCAACTCCAACCATCTGAAACACAGCCATGGATCCAACTGCAAATTTCCAAAAAAACTATATTGAGCTGTGACAAACTAACTTCATGGGCATTATTTCCCAGAAGGAATTGTCTCAATGACACTGACTAAGAGTTGTCTACAAATGAAGGATAACTTGCTTTCCCCAAGTATTCTTCAGATCTTTACTGAATAAGGAAACAGCTAGATAAAAACTAACAAAATAGAAAGAAATGAAGAAAAAATTGCTAAAAGCTGACTACTGAAAAGATAAAATACCAGTATAGGAAAACAACTATCAATACAGAGCAGTCAGAAGCCATTTAATATAAGGACAAACATGTTAATAGTTTCAGATTATACAAAGCAAAGTAAAACAATTATATTTTCAATGATTCCCACTTACGATGATAAAGTTAAATTATATTCAGACACACTATTTAGTGAAGAATAAAGAAAGATTCATGTTAAATCTCTCAATGCTTAAAAGGATAAGCTTCAGGTATAAAAATATTTGTGTAAAAAAGTCATGTAAATAAGGAGTTACCATTAACTTATTCTGCACAAATCATATGCTATTTGATAAATCAAAGGAAGTTCTGAATGAAAAAAGTCTTAAATTATTTTTAAAATATCTATAGGACAAAATGTCCTCATTAGTTTTGCTTCCCAATTTCTCACAAATATTTGACCATCCCTTATTAAAATTTATTCAATATGTATATTTATTATGTATTAATGAGGTTGCTTACTATATTCCTTCCCACCTCAGAAAATGTCTTTTCAACAAATCTCATACTCTTTTCTCTAGACTCAGAGTAAGAAGCTTCTTATTTCCTTTCCAAAGCTAAGTTTTCCACCTTGGTATTCTACTTAATGCTTTTCTGTCTCCTACAGGAACTTGGTCCTTTGTTTACAGAAATACCAGTCCTAGCCTCCATCTCCCAAAATATGAAATACTTCCTCACTCTTTGCTACCTTGACTTGATCCTGTCCCACTCAAGTTTTCTTCCTCTCACTTTGTCAAACTTCTCCAATCATGCATATCATTTTCTCTAACTCTATTGATGCCAGTTTCAAAATCCAATGGCCCTTCCTACCCCTTCACTTTCTTTGATTTCTAAGCAACACATCAAAACTGCTCCTTTGGTTTTAACAATGCTGCACTATCCTAACTCCTTTAATGGAACACTTTCCTTCTATTGCCTTTATTAATGTAGATGCTCCCTGAGAAAGAATCAGCACCAGCCATTCGCTCTCCTCTGTAATTTCATCCACTTTCATGATGCAAGTGATCGTCCCATGTCCATGACTGCTGTATCTCTCCAGCCTGACCTCTCTCTACACATGTAATTTCCATCGGTAACTGTCTTTTGGAGACTGCTTGATATGCCCCAAATAAATGAGGCTAAAACCCAAATTCACATTTCTCTGCCCCAATCTTTACTTCTTAACTTCCTGTGTTTCTTTCATCCTTCTCCCAGCCACCTATGTTTAACATTTTCAAATCATCTTGGTCTCCTTTACAATTCTCCCCTCCAAATTTAAATACTAAGTTCTATCAATTCTTCCTTCATAACATCTTTCACAACTGCCATTTTTTCTCCTATCCTTACAGCTACTATTCTAGGTCAGGCTTCAACTTCTTCAGACCTGGATTACTGTAAAAACTGCTCACCCAAGCTATAGCCTTCTCCACTTGCCATTTTTCAATCTATACTGAACACAGCCACTAAAATACATTTCCCAAAATACCACTGGACACAACACATCCCTTCTCAAAAATCATTTAATGAGCCCATTTTCTATAAACCCAAACTCCTTAGCCTGGCATTCTGGCCCTTTTCACTGGTTTTGTTTGTTATTTTTCCAGATATTTCCCACTACTATCCAACCCAAAGATTTTGTTCAAAAGGCTAAGTCAATTCATTTTCTCAAAAATATACATTGCACATCTTTGTTAACATCCTTCCCCACATCCCCTGTTCTGGAGTGATCTACATATTTTGGAGAGTAGCTCTGGGTAGTAGGTAAAAACATGGACTCTGGAACCAGAACCTGAGTTCTAATTCCAGCTGGGCCATTTGTGGAGTGTCTTTGGGCAAGTTACCTAAACTTTTTGTACCTTGGTTTCCTCCTCCATAATAAGGAAATAATAATAGTACCGATCTCATAGGTTGTGAGGACTAAGGAAGTGAATATATTTAAGGTACCTGGCACACAGTATCACTATAAAAATATTGACAATTATTGATGTTTGAAGGCTGAGCTCAACCAACACTGTTCCATGAAACCTTGATTAGCTCAATCCACAGTAACCTTCTCTTTTCTATGTTTCCAAAATATCTATTGTAAAGCACAAAAGTTTAAGTATAAAACATGATTTCTCAACAGTGACATTATTGACATTTGGGGCCAGGTAATTCTTCGTTGTAGAGGTCGTCTTGGGCACTGTAGGATGTTTAAGCAGCATACCCAGCTTCTACCCACTAGATGCCAGTATTGATCCATCCCCCAACTGTGAAACCAAAAATGTTTCCAGACATTATCAAATGTCCCCTGGGGAGCAAAACTGTTCGGTCAAGAACCACTAGTATAATATAAGAGAAAGTACATGAAAGCACTTTGTAACCTCAAAGTAACATACAAGGGTCAAGTATTATTACCACTCAGCGCGTATCAAATACACATCTGCATTATTTAATTGATTTGAAACTTGTATGTACACGTTGACCCTTAAACAATGCAAGAGTTAGGGGTGCTCGCCCCCCACATAATTGAAAATCTGCACATAATTTTTAACTCCCCCCAAACTCAACTACTAAAAGCCTCCTGTTGACCAAAGCCTTACCTATGACATAGTCAATTAACACATACTTTGTATGTTACATGTATTATATACTATATTCTAAAAATAATCTGGAGAAAAGAATATTAAGAAAATCATTAAGGAAAATATTTACAGTCCTATACTGTAAAAAAATCCATATATAAGTAGATCCATGCAGTTCAAATCTGTATTGTTAAAGGGTCAACTACACTTTCATTATCCAATTAGTTTTAATATCCTTTAGTATGAAACTCATGTTTTCCTTATTCATTTCCACAATCACACCCCATGGAAAGCCTTGGACATCTGTTGACTGATAGGTAAGACAGAGGTAACCTGAGACAGAACACAGTAAACTGGAAAGCGCATGGGATTTGCAGTCAGAAGACCAGGTTTGCATCTTAGCTCTGCCTTCACTTATTTCAGAACTTTGAGCAATTCATTAAAGTCTATGAGCCTCAGTTTTCTGATCTATAAAATGTGATATCTATATAGGTTGGCTATGATGTTCAAATACGATCAGGAACCATGTGAAAGAACCATGTATATTGCAGAATTATTATATACATAGGATCATATATGTAAAAAGACAAAAATGACGATTATACCATAATACTTCATTTATCCAGAATCATCAAGGTCTTTCTTTATAACCTTATTTTCTAGGTAACTGAAGCTTATGCCTTTAAGTATTTAACTTTGAAATTTAAACTATTTTGATGGAAGTTTTCTACTTTCAGAAGTACTATACATATTCTTCTGTCTTCTAAAACAATAGGTACTGAATATAATTTAACTTTTACTTACTTACTCTGGCCATTGTTGTAAACATTAATTAGAGATTATCAGATATGAATGCTGTTGACCTCTTTATTAAAGAGAGTCAGAGGTACTGTGCCCCATTTTGTTTCACTGCAGCCCTCATGCTCCTTCTGTTGCCCCTCTGATTCTCTATGCATTAAAGACTAAGGACTGAAGTTTGTTAAAGTCGAAGGAGGGCTCTCATACTCCTATGACTAAAGTTTATAAATGGAAAACTTCATGGCAGCTACTGCTCAGAGATGTTTTTTGTTACTTTCTGATTCTCAGTGGTGTTCTGGGTAACTGAAATTGCTGGGAAGGCAATTTCTTTTTCTGCTCTATGTATACATAGAGACAGTACCATAGATTGCAATGCATATATATGTACATAGAACTAACCTACTTATATTTTAAAAATCTTCTGTGAGTGCTTCCTGATGCCACTCAAAAAAAAAAAAAAGTCTCATTAATTTGAAGCTACAACAGAGCAATCATACTATTTGAAAGAAAAAAAAAAGTGCCAGGATTCATGTGCTCCCATCATAAGCAAACCCAAAAGAAAAGGAAAATAATATTATTAAATTTCCTTTCAGAATCTCTTGACTGAATTCTCTCAAGACTTATATGCATGCCTGCTTTTCTATGTGAACTGATATAAAGAGAAACAGAAAGGTCTATATTTTCCAGTTAAAAAAAATTTGTTCATCTTTAGTTACAAACACTAAACTTCAGACAAAAGGAAAACTTAATAAAATTTAACAGGAGAAAATCAAAATCAAATTGAAAATTGCATTGTGAGTCAGGAGCATTTTGTTCTTATGTTTGTAAATTACATGAGCCAGAGAACAACCTGTTCCCCTGACACTTCAGAACACGTGTACTATTTTTAGATATATAACATAAATAGTAATAACGTAAGTAATAAAAACAAAGTCATCTGTAATAAATCGTGATAATTTACCTTTGTGAGATGTTATAAAACATATAAGGGAGGAAGTAAAAATTTGGAGGGAAAAGATAAATCAAGTCAAAATATACTTTTAAAAAAGGCTTTTTTTGGTTTGTTTTTAAAACTTTTAGTGGCTCAAGACAAAATAAAGGGTGAAAGATAAGAATGAAAAAAAAAGGAAGGAAAGAAGGAAGAAAGGGGGGATGAAAGGAAACTAGAAAGAAAGAAGAGAACATGGCATATCTAACAGTATTTAGAAGCTACTGGTAGAATTATCTAGCCTTGTACCTGACAACCGTAGTCCAAAAGAAGCTGCAGTATATCCAAGTTTTCGTTTTCAATAGTTATGGTAACAGCATTTCTCCCAAGCACATCTACGCAATTTATGTTCAAGTCACCTGAACTGTTTTCCTCCAAAATCTTTTTAACCATATAATAGTCACCTAAATAACAATATACAAACATAATTTAATATCCAAGACATATTAGATAAGAATGACTGTAAAAACTTAGCCTGTTGATATAAAATTTAAAAACCTAAACTCATTTTTGTATATGGAAATGTGCAAAGAAAATGTGAACATTTCCTTGCTGAAAACCTTATCCTGATAAAATAGTATGTACCTCAGCTGCAAGCAAAAAGAAAAAATTTTAAATGTGCAGTTGAAATAAAAGTTGTTAGTTTAAAATTCACAACTGACTGATTATAAGGAGAGAAACTTTTAGAAGATATTTAAAGCAATGATGTCCATAAGTACGGACTGGAAACTAGAAAAACCTAAGAAGCGTACAGGATTTAAGTTTTAGACCTCAAATACATAAACACATTTACTGGCACATAATAATGGTTAAAAATATGATCTAAAAACAAGCAGAGGATATTAAGAAGTGGTTTTATAGGGGAAAAGTAGTTTGGAAAAGCAGTATGAATATATATATATATATATATATATATATATGCTAGTGGGTATGCATAGTAAAAGGGAAGGATGCCAGAAATTCCTTTCCTCTCCTCCCCACTCTCCCAACACACACACATACACACACACACACACTGCCAGAAATTCCTCTCCTCTCCTCCCCATTCTCCCAACACACACACACACACACACACACACACACACACACACACACACCTTATCTCATTAATGAACCTGTTTACATGGCCAGGGAATATTCAGCTCAAAACTCTAAGGCAGAACTAGGATTAATGATGGTAAAGGCTCAAGTGAGAATATTTCAAAGTGAAGTTTCACCTGTCAGGAGCATGCAGGTTACCTTCTGCCTAACTCCATTCTGTCTACATCAAAACAACTGACCCATAGGGGAAAATGAGAATAAGTACAGAAGTCATCATTTTCACCCAGTGCCCATTATATTTGTCTGTTCACCAGCTAGTGCAGTAATTTGGCAGAATAAATCAAAAGAGAAGTGCTAAATAAATAAAGCCAGGTGGGTTTTGTTTGTTTTATTTCATTTAACTTTTGAAACATAAGATCAATAAACCATTTTAAATGACTTGCAAATATAGTTGTCCTTAAAAGTCTATGAATAATAACCAGGAAAAGAACAATCAGAGTGGAAACCCCAAGGAAAAAGAAATGAATAATTTCATGATACAGAAAGAAAAAACCCTAAAACTTAACTAATTGGGTGAATAAGGAAAAGTAACAGATTTCTGTTAAAACTTCTAACAAATTTGCTATTTTTAGCCAATGACTTTAAAGTCCCCACACATTTTGGAAGAAGTTGAATAGTAGTTTTTTTGATGGTATATTTCCTTAGTTCCCTCAAGAAGAAAACTAGTCACAAAAAGAAATATTTTCCTCATAGCACTACTAATTAATATTTAAACACTTTTGTTCCATGACAAAAACTTACCAAACACTTCACAAAGTGAAGCTCTCAGTCACAAGCTGAACTAATAGTGAACATACAGATAGACCAGTGAAAATTTAGCACTATTACTGGAAACCAATGTTTAAAACCTTATTTCAGGTGATTTCAATATATTAGTGGTCAGAGAATGCCTCCCATAAAAGCTCTACATTTTCTTTGGTTTCATGATGTGTCTAGGTGAGGACTAATTTATCTAGGGACTCATTAGGCTTTCTGAATCTAAAGACTTCTGCCCTTCATAAATTCTGCAATATTTTCAGCCATTCTCTTCAAATACTGTTTCATCCTCATATTACTCTTTTTTCTACTGGAACTTCTATTAAACATTATGTTGGATCATCTCATTCCAACTTCTGTGTCTCTAAAGATTTATTGTTCCTCTTTCTCTCTTCTATATTCTTGATAATTTCTTCAAATCTTCCAGGTACTTATTATTTTTTATTAACCCATTCATTTTTAATGACTATTTTTTACTTAAGTTTTATTGGATTCCTTTCCAAATCTTTTGATTTACCTTGTTTTCATTTCCTTAAGATTTTAGTCATTCTATTTATTTTTATTTTTTTAAGATTTTATTTATTTATTTGACAGACAGGGAGATAGCGAGAGAGGGAACACAAGCAAGTGGAGTGGAAGAGGGAGAAGCAGGCTTCCCGCTTAGCGGGAAGCCTGATGTGGGGCTCGATCCCAGGACCCTGGGATCATGACCTGAGCCAAAGGCTTAACGACTTAGCCACCCAGGTGCCCCAGATTTTAGTCATTTTAAACATACTTATTTTATGATTTCTATACGGTATTATCTAAGGCCTCAGGGATTTAATCCTATGTGTTGTGTCTACTGACTCATTCTTTTTTTTTTCCAAAGATTTTTTTTTATTTATTTATTTGAGAGAGAGAGAATGAGAGACAGAGAGCACGAGAGGGAAGAGGGTCAGAGGGAGAGGCAGACTCCCCGCCGAGCAGGGAGCCCGATGCGGGACTCGATCCCGGGACTCCAGGATCATGACCTGAGCCGAAGGCAGTCGCTCAACCAACTGAGCCACCCAGGCGCCCCTACTGACTCATTCTTGAGAATGGGTGACTGTCTTCTGAATTTTTAAATTGGGTGTTGCAAACTCTTCATGCAGATTAACTGTGGAAATCCTGGCAGCCTAAAGTTTGAAAGGTTGTAACATCAAGGATGTTTTGTTTCCTTCTTCTGGATAACTCAGAGGTTTTGCTATCCTATCAATCTTTTTTATATTTATTTCTCAGTTTAGGTTTTCACAGACCAAGTAGGTAATATTAAACTCCAAGCCCTGGGGGCACCTGGGTGGCTCAGTTGGTTGAGTGTCTGTCTTCAGCTCAGGTCATGATCCTGGAGTCCCAGGATCAAGCCCCATGTTGGGCTCCCTGCTTGGTAGGCAGTCTGCTTCTCCCTCTCCCCCTGCTCCTTCTCTCACTCTCTCTCTCTCTCTCCCAAATAAATAAATAAAATCTTTTTTTAAAAATTAAAAATAAGTAAACAAACAAACTCCAAACCAACAAGAGAGAGGACTACAGCTGCAAATTCTTACTTACAAGCTTCACTGTAGTCTCCCAGTGCTGGTGGGTGGGTTCTTTTCTTCATCTACCCCTTTGCTACAGGTACAGTGCTTTAAGGATCCCGATTTTATGTATGGATGTTGTGCTAATTTCCCACTTTGTACAAACACAAGGCCTTATAACCTGTTTCCATATGTGCATTGAAATTCAAATCCCTATAATGCCTGGACCAATAACTAACTCTTGCCCCATCCACAGAGTAGCCAAAATGTTAGCTCACACACTCCTCTGTTCTTCAGATCATTTTGGATCATGAGTGTTTAATTTCTTGAAAGATCAGCTGTTCACTTAAATGGACATTTGTTATATTTTAACTGACATTTCTAGGTGATTTGAAGCAGAAGGGTTTTCAGATTATCTAAGTCAGCCATTTGTCAGAGACAGAAAAGTATAAAAAATTGTATAAGTACAATTCTTATAAAATTTTATAAATTTCAGGTATAGCAAATGGAAAGAAACAACTGCTACCTGTTTTAAAACTTTAGATTGCTGTTTCAAGAGTAATTGTATTGCAAATGTCAGATACTCCAGCTTTAGGTTTCAAAGACTATTTCCATTACAGTCAGGGGACTATACGAGAAAATAAAACTTAAAAAATCAAACCAAGTAAGTAATTTTCATCCCTAAAAATAAGAAGTTCCACCCTGCGACAGCTGACATACTCATGCAAATGAAAAATTACATGCTATAGTCACAGAATCTATAGGAAACTAGAGTGGTTTCTAAGTATTCCACCTAAGTTTACATTTGCAAGCCATTTAAAACAATGTGCTACATTGTTAAGCCCAGAACAGTCTTAATATTTGGTATGAGTGTATATGTACAAAGAGGTTAGTAAATTTAAAATACAAAGCAAGAAGCTAGTTATAGAGCAAGGATTACAATTTAAATGCCTTTTATGTCAAATATATGAATGCTTTTCATTTTATATTCAAGTTGCTTTTAAGAGTTACATAAATCGTTTGTCTTTTAAAATGTAATATATACAAGGAAATGCAACATAATCTTTTTACCTTTTGGCTAGATGGTTCTTTTTTTGGTGAAGGGAAAATAAACGTTTCAATCAATTCCACTAGTACACCAATTTAATAGCAAGCCTTCTCAGCTCCCCCTCCAAAATAGTTCCCATACTCATCCACTTGTATCCATGTATACTGCTACCCACAGTCAAAGCCACTATCATCTCTTTCCTGGACTCTGCAATAGACTCTTTTTTTTTTTAATTTTATTTATTTATCTGACAGAGAGAGAGCACAAGTAGGCAGAGAGGCAGGCAGAGGGAGAGGGAGAAGCAGGCTCTCCGCTCAGCGGCCTCGATCCCAGGACGCTGGGATCATGACCTGAGCCGAAGGCAGACACTTAACGACTGAGCCACCCAGGCGCCCCTCTGCAGTAGACTCTTTACTGAAATAGCTGCCAATACTCTAATACAAAGCTCAACACACTTTTTCTATAAAGAGCCATATAGTAAATATTTCAGGCATTATGGGCCATATTATCTCAAGTTGCAAATATTCAAGTCTGCCCTTACAGCACAAAAGCGGCCACAGACTACATATACACAAATGAATTCCAATGTGTTCCAATAAAACTTTGTGAACACTAAAGTTCTAATTTCATATAATTTTCCTATTATAAAATATTATTCTCTTGATTTATTCCCATTTGAAATGTAAAATGTAAACTATTTTTAGCTCACAGGCCTTAGAAAAACAGGTGGTGAGGATCTGGCCTGTGGGCCATAGTTTGCTAACCTTGCTCTAGCCCCTGCTCTAGTCCCACCCCTTTAATCCACTGTCCATCTAACAGCCAGAGTGATCTTTTTTAAATTAAAATCACTCAATTCCCAAAAATCTTGAGATTTTCCATCACACCTAAAATAAGTGCCAAAATTTTCACTGTGGCTTACTAAGCCCTATGGCACTTGAGCTTTGCTACCATTCCCTATTAACCTTGTGCAACTCTCCTGTTTACTCACTGTGATCTTTCTAGACTAATGTTTTCCAAAATGCAGGTTGCAACCCACCAGGAGTCATGAAATCAATGTAATGAGTACTAAACAACAATTTTTAAAAATAAAATGATATATAAAACACCAGGGTAATCTCATGGATCTTTAGCAATCGATTCACCCTGGCCAACTGTGATAAACCCTTAAGAAATACAGTGAGAGGGGCGCCTGGGTGGCTCAGTCCTTAAGTGTCTGCCTTCGGCTCAGGTCATGATCCCAAGGTCCTGGGATTGAGCCCCGCATTGGGCTGCTCTGCGGGAAGCCTGCTTCTCCCTCTCCCGCTCCTGCTCCCCCTGCTTGTGTTCCCTCTCTCACTGTGTCTCTCTCTGTCAAATAAATAAATAAAATCTTAAAAAAAAAAATACAGTGGAGAAATGTTACAATATCAATTAAGAATAGATGATTCCATCTCTTCTTCATTGGCATCTCTTTATTTTCTGGCATATGATGGTAAATTTTAGTATCACTAAAATGGGAGCATTAATGTTGATCAGTTTAGTTTAATTTTATAGTATCCAAATTTTCAGTTAGTTGTGAAGTATGGGAGAATTTATGTCAAAAAAATCTGTAAAGCTTTTCAAACTAAGTTTCTGTAACAAACTTTTTGAGTGTGTCAACTGTAACAATCTAATTGAACTATTACTAAAGACACTTAAAAAAAGATTTTATTATTAAAAGGAAAAAGAATAACGAGGTAAAAAAAATACAAAGACATGATCAAATTTAGTTGCTGGATCTGTAAATACAAATAGTGACAATAATGATTAAAATGTTAACTCTATAGCAAACTTCAAATTAGTTTGAACCAAATTCTAAAAAGAAAAAAATGCAAGACTTTTACAGTGAAAGTGACTTAAAAATGTAGTTTTACCCAAATGTGCAAAACCCAATATTTCTCATAAATCCCTGTTTTATAATCATACTTATAAACGAAACCTTAAAAATTAAAGATACTCAAAAACATGGTATGTTTGAATATTTTTGAAAAAAGACAATTATTACTGTAAGTTCTTAGCCATTTATGACTGTTAATGAAGACTATTAATGATAATGAATATCATCTGGCAAAGGAGCAAAGATTCACTCTGCTGTAGGAAAAAAATTATACTTACAGCATAGAAGGTGATGCTTTTTTTATAGTAAGTAAGTTGACAAATTAAAAATTATTAACAGTATACTCTTGTATCTATTAGAAAAACAATTAGAAGCAATGTTTATTTTGTAATTAGAGTCTGGTATGACTGGTATATGATGCAAATCAGTGATGTTGCAAGTTGTATAAAATTTTAGTTTACATCAGTTAGCTAAAAAAGTCCCATTAAATATATTAAGTACGGTCTTATTAAAATGGCAGTTTAGTATTACTTCTCCCAGAAATGCTGCCCATTTTAAAAGCATGCTTCGTCCAAAGTTATGCAAATTCATGTAAGAATTCAAACATCAAGGCACCCTTCTACACAACGCAGCAAATCCTACCACAAAGGTGACGTAAGACCTCAGACTAGACTGAGCCCAAGGACAGCTCTCTCCATCCCTCCTGTGCCCTCATGCTGAAATTTCAAGAAGGGCATCCTGACTCATTAATTGCAAATAGAAATTTCCTGAAAATGCCCTTCATAGGGAGTTGAAAGGTCCTAAATCCGGACTAAGTCCTTTCATTATTTCCTTTCTCTGCACAAGAACTGATCATAGCATATTAAAGGGTTAATATAGGTTTAGCTCGTGAACATATACTAAAAGCTACCATCTACTCAAGTTACATTAAAAGAGGTAAATTAACATGAACTATACTTAGTTAGGCATTCCCTAAACCGATGTAGTAACCCTTTCTCCAGCCATCAGGCCTGAGTAAACCACAGGCTCCCACAAATAAAAGTGGCTCATTATCACATTAACTCTCAATGAGAGAGGAAAGAGGTGGTCATAAGAATCCTGCTTAATATTTCATAAAATAGCCAGCTGTTGTTTCAATTATCTTTCACCTCTGAGTTGCAGCGTTCTATGTCTATAAAGAATATGAATGTGCTTTCTGAGAATTTTACTGGGGTTAGGGCACATACTTAACTTGATTGTCACTAGTACAGGAACTTTGACTTCTTCTAAATTTTATACAAAGAACCAATGATACATGATTCTGACCTACTTTCAAGATAAATAACAGCCACTATTAAGCAGCCACTACCTGGAGATCAGCACTTACCTAGATATATTGAGCTCATTTTTCATAAAAGCCAGCTATAAATCAAACATAAAATCTTTTTCTTTCCTACTTTTTTCCTTTACTCCTCAATGTGTACACACCCATCCACTAACATCCACTAACATACACATAACCAAAATCTCCATAATTTTTGCTTTAGGAATTCTCCCTAAATGGACTATATGATAAACATTTTGTACACATAGAGTAGGATTTCTAAATGAAAAGGATGAGAAACATAGATACGACAGTGTGGATTTGTTCTAGTGCTATTAAAGCTTTTCACTTTTATTGGATAAATATAATCCACAGAATCAAGGTTTATAAAACATTCATAGAGAGCAAGTTTAATCTCCAACTAGTAAATCCAAATTTGGATATGTCTTTTCTAACACAAATGATTTTCATTCATTCAACTACAACTAGATCAATACAACATAGTGTTTAAGAGTGCAGGCTCAAGCAGATCTGAGTTCTACCACTTCCTAGCTAATGTAACCTTGGGCAAAGTGATTTTAAAATTTTGCTAAGCCTCATTTTCCTCATTTGTAAAATAAGTATAACAACAGATCTGGCTCATGGGGTTGTCAGGATAAAATGAAATCATCTATGAAAAGCATATACACTCTACCCTAATGCCTGTTTTAGCAAATGTTTGCTATTCAGTTTGATGAAAGCTCCAATGTAATAGTGGAAGCTATCGCTACTTCAAGAAATTTCTTACTTTTAGATTAAAAGTAAAATACACTAAAAAAGGCTTAACAATATTAGTGAATATAAACATGTAAGCAAATAAAAATACTGCTATAACTCAAATTTATTTTTTCAATGTAAATTGTATACCATAAACATATGTAATTTAAACCATTTTTCCAAATCTAAGCCAAGAATTCATTTCAACATACCTGAAAGAGAAAATACCTATTTAATCTCACTCATGTAAAAAAATGTTTAATTTATAGAAGGGTAAAAAAAAAAACATGCATATTTATCTTCCACCCCACCCCCAAAAGCTAAATCTCTCCGAGGATCTTAATGTTATAAAATGGGAAATTGGCAAAGAATAGGAAGCTATTTCAACTAACACTACTGGATAGGCTACAAAACTATCATATATGAAAACTTTCATTTGAGGTATACCATGCAATAATTCTAAATATACATACCATTTAAGTACTTTCTCCAACCACATTCCATTATGACATTCCTCTGTCCTCAGTTGACAGCAATATTAAATTCCCTTTCTTGAAATACTTTCTGTTTGCTTTAAAATAACCACAGCTCAGTAAGCTGGGGTAGATGCAGCAGCCACTTACTCATTCTAGTACAACACAATCTTGTCCCTTCCCCTCTCAGAGAATTTTTGAGGGAAGAGAACTCAGATAATCCACGTCAGTAATACTAAGTAATTTTACATAATCCACAGACAGTGACTTTTGTGAGGTTATAAACATATTCTGTTTCTTTACATTTCCAAGTCTATTCAAAGTTGTGTCCATGGTGGACTTTAACAAAAGCTTCCATAATGTAATTTAATACTATTACATAAGAACATAAAAGTGTCTGACAAGAGACACAAGTGGACTGTTTATATGTTAATGTGTTCTCAAAAAGTTGTGTAAATAAAATCCTATTTCAAAAGCAGTAAGAGAGGTGAGAAAGGCTGTGATTTATTAAAAACACACTCATACATACAAACAAAAAATCCTCTGTAGTTAATCTTTTCACAGTGTAAGCTGCCCTTTGAGTTTGTGTTTGGAAGTTTGCAGGATCCTAAACAGAGTATTCCTAAGTGAGCATGGCCATTGTAAGGCAACTTAATAAATTTAGAAAGAAAAAAATTACAGCATTTTCTTACATGTGGGAAATAAAAGCCCTCTTAGGGCAATCAATTTCCCATTCCTTTTATTATATGCATCAATATAAAGCATGCTTAAGTGAAGAGATTTTATTATGGCCATAAAAGTGATTGATTTCTAGTTGGTTTTTTTTTTTGAAAGAAAAACACATTAAATACATTCCACAGTTTTGTCTGTAATTGTTTTGCACGACCATTTTTTCCAGAAGGTTCAAGGACAATAAACCTTCTTCTCCAATGAAAAGCACGAACAAAGTTCCGCAAATTAAAAAAAAAAAAAAAGTTTGGCACTAAGGCATAATTTCTCCAGTCCTATCTTTATCTCCACCCAGGATACTGACATACCTAAATCCCATTCAACAGTCATTGAACACCAAGGCAATGGGTGGCTGAAGCTAATAATACCAGTACGGGTTTAAAGAAAAAGAAAAACAAAAACCAGGTGAGAGCCCATAAACACGAGGAACCCTAAGCAAGGTCATGGAATTTTCTAACTAGAAGGTCCCAAACTAGACAAACCCTGTGGGATTCCAGAAAGAAAGAACAGAAGCTCGGAGAGGGAGACCAGGTCATTCAGGGGGTTAGTAGCAGAGGCGGAGGTCTGGGTCGGCAAGTCTCTACCTAAACACCGGAGCCCACAAAGGGAGGCCACGGCCAGAACCGCCCCAGGTGCGGTGCTCCGAGGGCTGCACGCCGGCTGCTCCCGCCCGCCAGCTCCACACTCACAGGGCAGAGGCGGTGCCGGGTGGCCCGGGAGAGGCAGCGGGCGAGGCGGTACAGAAGCTCCGCGCGTGAGGGAAGAATGACCCAAGGTGAGGCTGGGGAAAGGGTGAAGGGTGTGGAGGGCAGGGGTGCCCAGAAGTGGAGAAAGGGGCCTAGCTCTCACCCTTGTCGCACGCCAGCAAGAAAAGCTTCTCATTCAGGGTGTTCTCCTCCTTCACCTCCCGCACATCCTTCAGCGCCATCACCTCGTTCGGCGACGAAGAGGAGGATGGGGAGGAAGGAAGGGAGGAGGAGGAGGCGCCCGAGAGATCCGTGCTCGGGTACAGAGCCGCCATCATCGCGGCCCATGAAGGGGGCAGGCCAGGAGACGGGGGCGGGGCCCCCACCAGACCCGACCCCGACCCCAGCCCCGCCCCAGGGCTGGAAAAGGGATGAGTCGTTCCCACGGCCGCCTCAGCGCGCGGCCCGTTGGCCCCAAAGGGCGTAGTCTCCCCACGGAGCCAGCACTCGCCCTCCACTGACAGCCCCAGACTGGTGGCGGCGCATGCGCGGCCCCGGGGCCAGCGCCCCCTCCCCAGTCGCCGGCGCCCGGGCCGAGCCGGTCCGCGCCCCTCCGGGGACGACAGAGTGGCGCGCGCCAGGGCGGCAGCTGAGCGCGGGGCCGTGCCAGGAGGCGCAGGGGCCGCGCTAGGGGCGGCCCAGCCCGGGAGGAGGATAAGAGATCTGTGGGGAAGGAGCTCCGAGAGCGATTCTGCGCACGTCGGGCTCCCGGGCTGTGGGAACCGCCGGCCCAGCTGCGCCCGGAGATGTTCGCGACTCTCCTCACGTCATCTTCCGTTCTGCTATAGCGACGACAACGGGGCGGGCTCGGGGGGACGGGGCCGTTGTGGGGGGCGGGGCCTACGTACGCCACGCCCCCGGTCCTCGCCAGCCCGCTGCAGCCTCGAAAGGTATCCAGTTGGTGGGGGCTAAGTGAACGGCCCAGTGCGACTTTTCCACACCCGGGTTGTTGAGGTAATTTACCTGCGGTCCCCTGCTGCATGTAAACATGCAGCGGTATGGGTACTGAACCTTTGACGACTTAATGTTTAGTCGAACCCCCCTTGTGGAATTGTCTAATTATTTCGTGTTGGTCACGCCGCTAGACTTGTGCTTGTGTGTGTGTGTGTGTGTGTGTGTGTGTGTGTGTGTTTGCACTAGCTAAACTCATTTCTAGACTATTTTTTCAACAACTTGTTTGTGATATAAAACTGGCATAACATTCTTGATGTCATACATTTATTCGCATGTAATTCAAGTGTACCAACATGTAGCCATTGGATAAGCGCATTTTTAGCATCTACAGTCATTCCAGTGGTTTCTTCACATTTATAAATTTGATTTTAAAAGATGTGCGTTAGGCAAAAGCTAACTGAAACACAGTACTACTTTCTTGAATAATTTTTTTTAAAGATTTTATTTATTTGAGAGAGAGAATGAGATAGAGCATGAGAGAGGGCGGAGGGTCAGAGGGAGAAACGGACTCCCTGCTGGGCAGGGAGCCCGATGCGGGACTCGATCCTGCGACTCCAGAATCATGACCTGAGCCGAAGGCAGTCGCTTAACCAACTGAGCCACCCTGGCGCCCCTGAATAAATTTTTTTAAAGCAAGCTTTTATTTAAGGCAGATTCTTGCACCTTTAAAAGCTAGGGGATAAAACTACAACTCATGTCTTTAATAATTCTTATTGCTTCCCACAACTATAGAAAAATCAAAATTGTGCCCTCACTGCTTTAGGTTTTTAAAGGCAGTAAATTTACATCAGAATATCTTATATTTGAGGGAAATACTTCCTATTCAGGTTGATTTATTCCATCTCTGTTCTTGCCATCACTAACTCCCAAATTTCCCAAATATAACTTTCTCACAATTCAAAGTACTCTTTATATCTTCTCTAATAGGAGGCCTTAGGTAGATGACAAGATTGCCCATCTTTCCAAACATTGTCATGTGTTTACTTCAAAATAGTCATCTATTGAATCATTTTAGCTTTTTCTTTCTCTCTAATGTATCGTAAATCTTCCCCATTCTATATTGTTTCCAAGTTTGCATATTTGGTGGACTGTCAAAATTGTTCATTGCTAATTTGTAGCCCTTGAACACAGAGGTACGTATGTGGGGGTTTATATGTGTGCTTACTTACACAATCTTCATAGTCTAGTAAAATTTTAACTCTAATGCTGACCCATCCAAAAGTTCCAGAGTATTGAAAGGTAAAAATTCAGGTAGCTCCAAGTATAAAAACTACTTTACTCTTAAGTTTTTTCAAGCTTCTGGGTTTGTGATTTCTCATCCATAAGGACTCCCACAGGGGTTGGATTAATTTCTTAGATCCAGGGGAATTCCAACCTACTTTTAGTAGATTATCCTAGAAGGCAAAGTTATTAGAGGTCTATCCTTTTTCAAAATAAGCCAGTGTTGCAACTGCGTCCTGTTTTTTAGAAGTTTTTTTGAATCATCTCAGATGCAGCATATTCTCTCTTGCCTCTGGTACATATTTTATCCAGCATAAATTGGGGTATTTTAGCATCCCCTATAAAATGGGTTTATTGTACATCTGTGATAGTAAGACTAATGACAGAATTATGATGAACAACGGCATGCAAGATTCAGAAGCAGCACATTACTCAAAACAACTCCCCAACCTGTAGGTACAAAAAAAGAGCCATCAACTTCAATTGGAGAAGAGAAAAATCCAGATTCAGATCTAGTCTTAAAAATAGAACAGATCCCGCCCCCAAAAAGTAGAACGGGGCACCTGGCTAGCTTAGTCAACAGAGCATGTAACTCTTGTCCCACACTGGGTATAGAGCCTACTTTAAAAAAAAAAAAAAAAAGAACAAGAACAGATCCTATCTCCAAACTCAAGGTCACATTTGCTTGTTTTACTAAAATGTCTGTAAGACTTTTCCTGCCTCAGAGCTTTTGTACTTGTTCCCTCTGCTGAACATTTATCACCTACCTCCTCATCATTTATATTTCAGTCTAAATAGCACATCCTTAGAGAGACCATTCCTGAGCACCCAAACCAAAATCTTAACCCCAGTTCCCAAATCAGTCTCTATTACGTTACCGTTTTATTTCCCCTATTGCATTTTATCACTATCTAAAATTCCTATTTATTATCTCTCTCTACTAGGATATAAGATTCATGAAGTTAGAGAATCTATATTTTTTCAATGAATCCCCATGTTTCTAGCATCATACCTGAATCATAACAAATTTATGTTAATCAACTGATTCCCTCATATTATTTCAGCACAAACTAAATCGTAGTAATAATGCAGTTGGTCTTTACTAAAATTCTTCATATTAAAGAACCACAGAACCACCTTCATTCCCCAAAAAATAATCTAATAAATTTCTTTTGTTTTACTAATTAAAATTATTTTTTCTGGAAAATAAACTTATGATAGATTAATTTTCAAGGCTGTATATTCTTTAAATGAAATGAACACTGACACATTTGTACATACACAGAGTTTTTATTAAATATATTTTGTGAGAAAAAGAACACCCTAAAATGCCAAATTTCATGTAAATCAGATAACTTAGTAAATATAATGGTGAAAAAAAATTAAAAGGGGAAACATTGATTAATCTCTTAGAGCAAGAACATATCTTAATCTTCGTATAAGAAAACAGTCATCAAAATATAAAAGGAAAGGAAATCACTTTTGTAGAAGAATATATTTCAAAGTTCCACCTATTGATGATTTCATTTAAAAAATCTGAGACACATGAGTAGTCTCACTCTACCAACCTGTTTTAATCAATGGTAGAAGAGGGGTTTAAACTACTCATTCACATGGAGATAAAGTGACAGCATTTTTGTTGCATAGCAGTATCGCTCACTCTCACAGTGGATGATGGAGGAAACAGATTTCTCAATTCATTTTTTAGCAGCAGAATCTGTCTGCTGACAGAAATTCACACAAAAATAGGTCTGAGGGTTAGCTATTCCCAAGTAACACAAGCATTAACCAAACACTGTCAATTTGTAGGAAGCTGTGGAAAAAACATGTGAAAATATTCTGTGTTGAATATTAGCTTTGTGTTATTTTCTGCTAAAGATGTGGGCAATTTCTAAATTAGGGCTTCAGTATAGGTCAAAATTAACATGTTTTGAGATGCTGTAGTCAATGTTTTGCTATAAATATGTGGAAGAAGTCAGTTGAAAAATAGCTATATGCACATCCAAAATGAATATTTTCTAAAAGAAATCTTCATGTACCAAATATCTACAAACTAAAAAGTTATTATACACGTAGTGGGACCATGATAAACACTTAATGGTTGCCTGACTGACCAGTTATACATACCACTTAAGAAGACCTGGGTAATTCAGATGCAAAAAAAAAAAATTATATATACACACACACATATTTCTCTAATAACAGCCTACCAACATATATGCTGCATAGTTAAAGCTGTATTATAAACTAGCATACATAAAGTATCAGTACAGTTAAAATTAAGTTTTTTTGTGTTTTTTTTGAAGATTTTATTTATTTTTTAACAGAGAGAGACAGCGAGAGAGGGAACACAAGCAGGGCGAGTGGGAGAGGGAGAAGCAGGCTTCCCGCCGAGCAGAGAGCCGGATGCAGGGCTCGATTCCATGACCCTGGGATCATGACCTGAGCCGAAGGCAGACGCTTAACGACTGAGCCACCCAGGTGCCCCAAAATTAAGTTTTAAGTAAAAAGCTCCTGCTACTTATACAAGAGAATGTATTTTGGTGTTTATTCAAGAGTTAGTTCTCATATATAAAAAAGTTTTAATGAACAATACTTGTCACTTAAAAATTTGAGACAATATAGAAATTTACAGAAAAGCTGAAGCTCACATAGTTGGAGGAAAAAATAAGAGAACCTGGATAATGACTTAGAATACATTTGTGATCAAAATTAACAAATACACACACACACAAATCAAAGCACAGCAGGACATGCAAAAAAATTTCTACACTGATCTTTTTTGAACCATGAAAAAGAATGAATTTGTTTTAATAAGACTTTCAGAAAATGAAAATAATTTAATTATGAAATATCAGCTTGATAATGAGCATATTATTATCAGTATTGACTGGTAAATTAATTGCGTTATCCAAAAATGTTGACAAAGTCTAAGTAGTATGAAAAAGATACTGAATTCATTAATGAATTATACAACTAGTCTAAGCATACAAATAATCTCTGGTTTTATACCCACTACATTTCAGAATTCTGTAAACTGTGAGACATTCAATGTGTTTAATGTGGCAGAAAATCATTAAATGTTTCATTATTTTATTCTATTCAGTCCCTTTCCCATTAAGCATGCAAACACGGTCATAACCATCTTTGGTTTCACTTCTACGAGGTCATCAGGTAAGGCATATATCCGGGCACCGATCTTTCGAGCAACTGAAATGGCATATCTTGAAAAGACAAGAAAAATATCTTATTAGTTGTTAGCTACTGTGTTTTCACTTAATATATGTTAAGAATGAACTATTTTGATTAGATTAGTGCTTTACGAGAAAGTTAAGTTTGAAAGTCTTTAAATCATAGTCTCCATATAAGTTGTACTTAAAAATGTTAAAGACGTAGTAACCTTACCTGTAAGGACTTACAAAATTTAAGAGCCACTGTGTTCTAATTTAAACCATAAAAAGCTTACTTAGCATTGTTCAGCTTGTCCTCCTCAGATAAGTTGTCTCTCTTGATCATTTCTTGACGAACTGCATTTGGTGCAATGGCATCTATTAAGTCTAGGACAGGTAAACTAGTGCTAATAGATTTGTCCTAGAAAATAAAGAATGGATGAACATTCATAAACATCTTTTAATTTTCATAAATGGCAAATTGGGTCATCACCATGTAACTGAAAGCAACTTATAAATTTTCTTTGTACTGAACATTCAGCTTTTCTGCAACCAGCACACATCACAAACCATTTACAACAAGCTTTTCCTTCAATCTTTACAGAGCTTACAGTGTGGAGTTGTTACCATACCCAAATAGGGTTTGCAGATGTGACAATTCCTAAAGTATGCTAACTACAGTATCCATTCTGTAAAAAAATAACTTTGAAAGGGACTAGGAGATGAATTTTAAATTAATAGTTTTGTAAATTCTAGTAATATATTTCTTAGACCATCGATTCCTAAGCCTTCACTTGAAATTTTTCAGAAAGAAAAATGAAAATATTAGTGGAAAGGAACTAACATTTACAAAGGCATTATTCTAGTTGCTTTACATGTCCAGCTTGTTTAATTCTCCTTACAACCTGGTAATAATTATGATCTCTCTTTCAAAGAGGAAGAACATGAAGTTCATAGAGCTCAAGTGACATGTTCACACAACCAGTAAGTACAAAACCAGTAATTGGACCCATAACTGTCTGATTATAACGCCCAAGATTCTCTCCATTTTTGAAGTCACCTCCAAGCTGAACTAAAAATGAACAACCAAATTCTAGTGGATAGTGCATTGCAGTTAAAGCCAGAAATCCTGGTCTGAATTGTTTTACCACTTACCAGTACTTGAAAAAAGAAAAAAATCACTTATTCTGTCTCTCAGCTGGGATAGTGGCCACTGCTGCTTACCTACCCAGAATCTATTCTTTCCTTACTACTTTCTCCATCCTAACAGAACCCACATTTTTGCTCTGTGTCCATACCTTCCTCACATGTACTCCTATTTCAACTCTCTCTTCTATTCGCTTCAAGGAAAGCGGAACCCAACCACAGCTCCAGGGGTGATCCTGAGCTAGTCCAGGCCATGAATTCTGGGCGTAGGGTGATAAACTTATTCTTTTTTATGTATAAAGCATACAGTATATAAACATACAGTAATATCCATGGCATTAAAATTTCAGAGAGGGGCATTTAGGAAGAAAACATCTAAAAAGACTCCTTCGATGAACAAAAACACTAGTCTGAACCAAACAAGAGTAATCCCATCTGATTACCACAGTGATTTAATTTTGGCCTAATTTAATTTAATGTGAGGTCCTTGCTATTTTCTGGAAGAGCCATGAAAAACCAGCAACCCTCCTCCTGTATGTGAATGAGAGGATGAAACCTTTGTCCCAGCTAGCAGCTATCCTATAACCAAGAGGAAAACCAGCTATAGGGTGAAGTTGGCACTGTAGATGGCAAAGCAGAGATGAATAAAAACCTCAGTCCTGAATGACATTCTTCAATTACTGTTCAACCAACCCTAAAATCTACCCTACCTCTGGATTTCTGCTATTCTGTACCTTTCCTTTTGGTTTAAACCACTTTAAATTGGGTTTCTGTTACCTGAAGCCAAAAGCAAGCACCCTTTCCTAATCGCTACCATGAGAATGTCACAGGATTCTTGGGAATATTAATATAAGTGAAAGCATCTACTACAGTTCCTAGCCAAATTAATAAATTTTTGAAAAAACAATTTGAAGCCATGTGAAGAAAAGTAACTGTCTACTTTTTTGGGCCATGATGTGTAAGCCACTACATTTATTAATTTTAGAAAAATGTATATTCTTTACTTTCAGGAATGTTCATTTTATGAAACAGATTTTTGGGGAGAAGTATAAGTAGAGGAGTAAAAATAACTAGGGTCTTTAAGTCTTTGATGCTGGTAATCTGGATCTGGGTGGGGGTTTCTTTGGCATCTTCCTTATTTCTGAAAAATTCTCGTATTTGTTTTCTCAATGTGTAGTCTGCAGACCACCTACATGAACAACACCTGACATGCTGTTAAAAGCATAAATTTATCCCTGTAAATGAATGAGTCAGGTTATCTGTGGATAGGGCTAGGAATCTGCTTTTTTAATAAGCTTCCTAAATGACTCTAATATACCATTATTCTTTCTAAAAAAAACTTAACATTCATGCCATTCTATAACAAATTTAAAATTTCTGTGTGCTTTTCACTTTTCTATGATGATTCAAAAACATACAAGTGGCTTAATTGTGCTATATTTTGATTACTTATTTACATATTTGTGAGGGTTTTTTTAAGACTGAGGAAAATTATTTTGTTCATTTGTTTTTTTCAGCTTTATTGAATTATAATTACACATTAAACTGTAAGACATTTAAAGTGTACATCTTGAATATTTGATATATTTATATGTTGTGAAAGCCCCTTGTACTGAGCCCTTAAGACGTACCAGGTACTATTGAGCTCTTTACATTTGTTAACTTAGTTTGATAACAAACTCAGATGATAGGTATTATTAATATCTCCATCTTAAATATGGGGAAACTGAGGCATAGAGAAATAACTTGCCCAAGGTCACACAGATACTGAATGTATGAGCCAGAAGTAAATTCAGTTTTATTTATCAAGAGGTGTAGTCCAGTTGTTAGTATAAACTGCTAAGGTTTCTATAAAACACACCCTTTTCACGTGCTTCCTACTCCCCTTAGCTGATTTTTATAGTATGCTGACACCCCACACAGTGATTCCTGTCTTATTTGCTTCCTTTCCTGAACGGTGACCACTCTGAGGGCATTATGTAGCCCCAGTGACACAAAGCACCTGATATAGAGTAAGCTTTGAATATTTATGAGATGAATGAGCAGTATGTCACACAACTAACAAGTGTCTGCGCTGAAGTCAAATCCAGGGCCACACAACTACAGTTTGGCTTTCAACCTGCAGTTAGATCTGCCTGTGAAATCCAGCTATTCTGCTTAATAGTTAAATGTATAACAGTGGACAAGTTGTTTAACTTTTCTAATGTTCTTTTTGCTTATAGAGTTATTTAGAGAATTAAACTGTAAAGGGCTTATCATGGTGGCACAAAGAACTCAATAAAGGGGAATTATGATTATTGTTATGGCTGATATACCACTTATCTTCTTTTATTTTTATTTTATTTTAATCTCAGTGTTGTTAACAGAGTGTTCTATTAGTTTCAGGTGTACAATATAGTGATTCAACAATTCCATATATTACTCAGTGCTCATACACTTCCTTATCTTGATGAGGGAAAATTACTTTGCAACTAAAAAGGGTAAATTTGTCTTTTCTACAATTTCTCAGTATAGCACTGCCTTGATTATGATTAATAGATTCTTACTAGTACCATTTATTATAGCCTTCAAAAATAATGCCTTCTACAGTTGGGAAAAAAAAGCCTCCCCACCCCAACTATTTTTTAGCATTTGCTGCCAGATTTCTTAAGTATAGTCTTTTTAAAGATTTTATTACTGAGCATCTACTAAATAAATGCCAAGCACTTTTGCATTATGTTTCTGCTACCTCTGTTCTAAGTAAAACTCTCAAGTCCGCTTTTCTCTGTGAGCTCCCTCCCTCTTAAAGAGTTTGTGTACTCCTATTTTCAACTATCTCTTCTATTCAACTGATCAAGTCTGTGTTCCCAGTTTTAATATTTCCTTTCATCCAGCTCATTTCCTGAACATTACCTCAAATCTAACAAGCTTAAAACTGGACTCATCACCTTTTCCAGAAAGCAACTATACCTCCTGACATTCCCATTTGTTAGTGTTATCTGTTTTCCAATTACCCAGGCCTAAAACATCAAGTTTTAATTCCTCTTTCTCCTGTGCTTCCCTAAATCAAGAAGCCAAACCCTACCTGTTCTTTTGCAATAGCAAATAACTATCCACTGTTAACATGCCCAGTGCCCACCCCCAACTCCATTCAGATCCTTATCATTTCACACCTTGAGTTCTGCCTCAGCTTCTTAGGCACTGTCCTTGAATTTACACCTTTCTTCCTCCAATCCATCCTGCTCACCACAGTCAGAAGAGCATTCCTAGGGGCACGTGGGTGGCTCAGTTGGTTAAGCATCCGACTCTTGATTTTGGCACAAGTTATGATCTTGGTGGGGAGTCTGCTTCTCTCCCTCTCTCTCTCTGCCCACCCCCCACACACACATGCGTGCCCACACTTGTACGCTCTCTCTCTCTAAAATAAATCTTAAAGAAAAAAAGAAAAGTATTCCTAAAATAGTTACTTATTTTTACATTACTTCCGATATCGATAAACTTTTATTAAGGCCAGATACCTCCACAATCTTGACCCCAGACTATATCTAGCACTACACCCTTAGGAACTATCCTCTCTAGCCAAACTATTTCTCCTAACCTTCTCAGACTTGGCTTTATTCAAGATGGACCGTTTTGTAGCTTGTTATGAAAATTCCAGTTATGAAAACTTTGTCTTTCAAATACATGGTGAACGCTATGAGGGCCAAATTAATTTCTTATATTCTATATCTTTACCTATAAATGTTACTTAATAGTAAGAGAGCTCAATAAATATGTTTCTAAATATTCTCATTGTATTTGATTTAAATATATACATGCTTATTATTTTTCATCAACTAATGTACAAATGCATAAAATTTCATTACAACAGTTTTAATGAGTAACTATCAGAGAATTTCATATGTCCCTTTTCCTGTTTTACGTTTTTAAATTGTGTTTTATGTCTAAAATATATAAAAACAAATCATGGACTGAAAATTGTTTCTCTTTTTTTAATAAGCAACAGCAAAAACTCAAAATCATTAGTTCCTTCCAAGATGGCAAAAAGAGAAACATACTTGAACTAGGACTCAGGCAACATCTCTGCTGTATTCCAGCTGTCCGGTTAAAACCACTTTGGGGCTCAGTATTTAGTAAAGATTTAATTTATCAATTTCTGACATTTCTCCTGCTCTAAAATGTTGTCAAACATATAGAACAAAGGAAAGGAAAAGACTAAAGATGGATAGATAACTCTTAGGAGAGCTTAGGGTTTCATCTGTTTGCACTCTTTTTTTTTTCTTTTTAAGATTTTATTTATGCACTCTTATTCACTAAAAACAAAACAAAACCACCAAATTGTGGATTTTTCACATATAATAAAATCACAAACACAAGCCTCACTGGATTCATGTGTACAAGCAGACATGCTTATTTGTAGTTAACATCACCTTGCATGCAAAAGCAAAACACAATGGAAATGAATGAAAATTAGTGGGTATGCATGTGCAGATTACATTTTTGAGTGCTTTATGAATCATCCACAAATGCTCGGAAGTGAGTGTTAGGTGCCATTATGAAGCCAGATGACAAGATTTTTTTTTTTCCTACCAGTTTTCTCAATTCCCACTTGAATCGGTTTGGCTGGCTCTGTTATGCCTTGGAAATGATGTCAATACAATTCTGAGACTGCTGCTAGGGAGCACAAAACATTATAGGTCCTATATAAACAATGGCTTTTTTTATCTTTCTTTTTCATTTGACAATTGGGTTTTTTGGCTCTATTCTATTTCTTTTTTAAGATTAGATGACCAGAGCCTGATAATATTAACCTGCATTTACACTCAACAGGACAACCAATCAAAACTATAAGAATTCAAACATTTATTTTTGCTTCAGATGCCAAGTAACTAGTAAGCCTAGGTTCATAAATTATGTTTCTGATCTATAATGTTACTGTAACTCTGAACCTAAACCAATGTAATTTCCAATAAAAATTCCTTCCTGAACTTACTTACGAAAACAAAATTTTAAAATAGCTTTTGATTACCTTGAAGTTGGATATAGAAGTATTTTTTTTTGCACTTTTAAGAGTCTGATTGACCCATTTAATAATAATTTCATCATTTACTTTTTCACCCTCTCCAAGATCTGATAACACATTCAATGTGTACCTGTAACAGAAAAGATGTATATTTGAGAGTGAAAGGGGAGAGAGAAGGGGTGAAATTTGCTCTCACATCATTTATATCAATATTTAGATAAGTATTTAAATATTTTGGCTCGAATAAATATTTCTAATGTTAGATATTTGAACTTAGTCACATTCCAAAGTTGCAAAGCTCAGTAATCAAAAACAAAAACTACTAAATGGTATTTTATAAAAACAACTCCTTACAAGGCAGTTTTTAAGAGGCATTAATAAAAGTGATTATTTCCAGAGATTGATCCACTTTTAAACAAAATGTATTATCAATGGCAAATCATTTTAAAATACATTTTACATTTACATGTTTCTTATGTTTGTTATTCTCAAAAAGAGCTAAAATTTTAGTTCATATGACTTGCTGAAGGAAGCAGTATTGCTATAAACATATCAGCCTTTACCTTCTCATCAGCTGCCATACCAATGCCAGAGTAAGTGTTGAATTCCCTTCATTTAGGTCCTGCCCAGCAATGCCGACCAAGGAGAATTTAGCCTTATTCTTCCCAAGTTCCACTGCATAGTTACAGTTTTCAATCTATGAATAAGGAAAAGTTTTGGTATAAAAGCATATTTTTAGGGCGCCTGGGTGGCTCAGATGGTTAAGTGTCTGCCTTCGGCTCAGGTCATGATCCCGGAGTCCTGGGATCGAGTCCCGCATCAGGCTCCCTACTCCTTGGGAGCCTGCTTCTCCCTCTGCCTCTCTCTCTCTCTCTGTCTCTCATGAATAAATAAAATCTTTAAAAAAAAAAACATGTTTTTAAAAATATATCTCTTGAGTACACCAGCTTTGTTCAGTCATTTGAAAAACAACTGAGGACACCTTCAATTTAGATGACAGAATATCATTTCATAACACTGAAATTAAGGAAATAATAATTATTCCCATTTTATAGCTGAAGATATCAAAGCACTGAAGGGTTAACCTAGACAGAGAAACAACTGGCTAGAAAGTTTTAAGATCTTACCCTAAAAGTCTTGACTATCCAAGATTACATAGTTTATTAGAGGCAAATCTGTGACTAAAAACCTAGGTTTCCTGCATTCCATTAATAGAGTTAAAAAATACTCTTTTGTCTAAATTTAAAACTAAGGAATAAAGAAATTGTTTCATTAAGAATCTAAAACCTCAGGGCGCCTGAGTGGCTGTCGCTAAGCGTCTGCCTTCGGCTCAGGTCATGATCCCGGGGTCCTGGGATCGAGCCCTGCTCGGTGGGAAGCCTGCTTCTCCCTCTCCCACTCCTGTTTGTGTTCCCGCTCTCGCTGTGTCTCTATCAAATAAATAAATTAAAAATCTTTAAAAAAAAAAAAGAATCTAAAACTTCATCTCCCATTTCTTCATCCAGGTATTACTCATCTTCCAAAATGTAGCTTTTAGCTCACGTTCTTGAACAAAGGCTTATTAACCTTAACTATACCAGCTAATAACAATCTATCCCTTAATGAACTTCCAATAATGCTTATTTTGTATGGCTTATGCACCATCTTCTACTTAGCAATTTATGTTCTTTCTTTTGTCAACCACAGGACAGGCTCCTTTAAAAAAAAAAAAAAGATTGTATTTATTTATTTGTCAGAGCGGGGGGAGCACAAGCACAAGCAGGGAGAGCGGCAGGCAGAGGGAGAAGCAGGCCCTCTGCTCAGCAAGGAGCTAGATGCGGGATTCAATCCCAGGACCCTGGGATCATGACCTGAGCCACAGGCAGATGCTTAACCAACTGAGCCACCCAGGCATCTTTGGACAGGCTCCTTTTAAAAATTATAACATGTACAAGTCTGTATCATACTCTTCTCCATCCCCAGGCCAGAACCCATCACTGTGCCCCGCCTACACTAAGAATCTGAGGAATGACCACCAAGTCAATTATTTACCTACCTACTTCTTTCCAGTGTTATAAGTCTAGTTAAGTCCTTTCTCTAGTAAATTTTTTTGTCTACATGGCCTCTGTAGATGTTTATTATCTCTAGTCTTCTTATCTCAGGGGTGTGTGTGTGTGTGTGTGTGTGTGTGTGTGTGTGTGTATAAATTCTTAGGTATTAGAATCTTTTTCTCCAGTGAAATTGTAAGCTCTCATAATCTTTTAATACACAAGTAATAAAAAGTGCTTACTAAATACTTTTTGGAATAAACATTTAAGAAAAATGGTGTAACTGGTTTCTTCTGATTTTCTTTCCCAAGTTAGTTAAGACCTCATTACAAAACAATTCAATGTGAGATATACAGATACATTTTTCTTCCTAAGAAAGTATTTCTAGGAAAGGTGAGAAAGGGACCACACAATAGAATTTGCACAAATAAATGGGTATTGTTGTTTAAAAAAGAAAATCCAAATTCCCAAAGATCAGTTTGTTACAAATAAAAATGCATGAAGATCCTTTGATCCTGCTGTAGCATCTGCCTGGTTCTCTCAATAAGTTTCATAAAATCTTTGATAGGTATGCATTTTTTTAAAATACAATGAGATAATATTTTAAAATTCTTTTTCCTAGTAATCATATTATACTATAGATTTAGACTGCCTAATAAAAATATATGCTATAGAAATGCACAGAATTGAAAAACAACCAGATACCTAATTTATAGAAAATAGCATCAAAGTTCTGATTATGTCACAGTGTGAACAGGAGAAAAACCAGCATATTTTCCGCTGACACCTGTTTCAATGGGAGAATTTTCTAGCAAATGTAATAATAATCACTTTTGTGCAAAATGTGTTTCAATGAAGGGCCATCTATTTTACAGTTAGATAAAAATTCCCAAGTGTAATGATAGTGAGAAGGGTGCTCAGGGTTACTAGAGGTCGGAGACATGGATATAACCAGCAACAAAAGGGTACCTGGAAATGGACGCTAACATAAGGAAATAGATGTGTTCTGGTTTTTGTGGCAACAGTTGATTCCAAATTTGGCAAAACTTCTAAGATCTGGAGAGGTACCAAACTAGAGAAAGAATAAGAAATTCAGCTCTAGGGATAAGCCTTGTTTATGGTACTACTTAACACTCTAAAAGTGGATCTGCTCTCTGAGGATGTAAATATAGAAAGTTAAGAGCAGTGGGCCAAGAACTGAGCCTTGGATACTTCTAGAGGTGTCAGGCTAAAAAACGAAGAATAGGTAAGAATAAAGGTAAGAATAAATACAAAGCAAGCAAGAAAAAAAACTGGAGAATGCAGTTTCATATAGTTAATGGGAGAAATGATTATCAAGCACTTCAAATGCTTTGGAAAAAGTGAAGCTTAGATCATTTGGAAAATGAGAAAAATTACATAAAAGGATACAGGGTTCCAAGTGAGAAGAATTACTGAAGAAATAATGAAGAAAGACTATTTAAGTGGTGCAACTTTATGAACTTCACAAATGAAGCAAAGTGATGTCTGATGAATGCCCAAAGTCTCTAAAATAAGCCTCTATGATACTTTGTCATGAAAGTACTGTTTCATTTTTTAAACATCTTGAATTTATTACAGGGCTTATGCTCCATTCTATAAACAGCTGGTATTTGTTGAAAGGAAGCATTTTACATATGATTCACTTGTGACATCTCATAATTAAAATTCCAGATAAAATGAGTGGTTTAATTTTTGTTTTCCTATTACATTTTGCATCTGCTTACTCCTAAAGGAACTAGAAAAAGAACAAAGCCCATAGTAGAAGGAAGGAAAATAATAAAGATGAAAGCAGAAATAAGACTTAAAAAAACAATAGAAAAGATTAAAGAAACCAAGAGTCAGTCTTTGAAAAGATAAACAAAATTGACAAACTTTTATCCAGACTCATCAAGAAAAAAGAGGACTCAAATAAAATCAGAAATGAAAGAGAATAACTGACACCATAGAGAGACAAAGGATTGTAAGAGACTAGTATGTAAATTATATGCCAACAAATTATACAACCTAGAAAAAATGGATAAATTCCTAGAAATATACAATCTTCTAAAACTGAATTGGGAAAAAATCTGAACAGACCAGTAAGTAGTAATTAAATTGAATCAGTAATCAAAAATCCCCCAGCACTTGAAGTAATGAGCACTAGGTGTTGTATGCAACCGACGAATCACTAAATTCTACCTCTGAAACTAATAATACAGTATATGTTAATTAAATTGAATTTAAATTTAAAAAAATTTTAAATCACCCAACAAAAGTCCAGGACCAGATGGATTCACAGGTGAATTCTACCAAATATTTAAAGAAAAAAGAAGGAAGGAAGGAAGGAAGGAAGGAAGGAAGGAAGGAAGGAAGGAAGGAAGGAAGGAAAGAAGGAAGGAAAGAAAGAAAGAAAGAAAGAGAGAGAGAGAGAAAGAAAGAAAAGAGTTAATACCTATTCTTCTCAAACTATTCCAAAAAATAGAAAAAGACAAGAACAAGTTTTGGTAAGGGTGTGGAGAAAAAGGAAAGCTTGTGCACTGTTGGTGGGAATGTAAACTGGTACAGCCACTGTGGAAAAGAGTATGGAGGTTCTTCAAAATATTAAAAATAGAAACACTACACAATCCAGTAATTCCAGTACTGGTATTTACCCAAAGAAAATAGAAACACCAACTCAAAAAGATCCATGCACTCCTATGTTTATTGCAACATTATTTACAATAGCCAAGAAACAGAAGCAACCCAGTGTCCATTGATAGATGAATGGATAAAGATGTGTGATATATATGTGTATACACACACACACACACACACACACAGGAATATTACTCAGCCATAAAAAAGAATGAGATCTTGCCATTTGCGACAATATGGATGGACCCAGAGGGTATTATGCTAAGTGAAATAAATCAGCCTGAAAAGACAAATACCATATGATTTCACATATATGTGGAATTCAGAAAAAAAAAAAGAGCAAAAAAAAAAAAAAGGCAGAAACAGACCCATAAATACAGAGAACTGGTGGTTGCAGAGGGGAGGAGGGGGGAATGGATAAAATGGATTAAAGAGAGTGGGAGGTACAGGCTTCCAGTTATGGAATCATCATCATTCATTTCCCAGATAGTCTCCCACTGACTGTAATCAAGTCACTGCCCTGCTCAAAAATGTTTAATGTCTTCCCATTACTTCTAGTTTAAAATGCAAGCTCTTTAATCTGACAGTCAAGGTTCTCAACACTTGGCTCCAGTTGAAATTTTTAGGGTCTTCTTACCTATTGGAATCCTCTGCTATAGCCAACATATTCCCTCCAATTCCCAGAAATGCATTTTATATTTTCCCATCACTATCCCTTTTCCTGATCCTTAGCCCCCTCTCCACCCTCTCTCAAACTCTAACTCAAATACCGTCTCCTGCATGAAGTATCTCATGATAAGTGCAGCCTGTGGTCTTTTCTTCCTTAGAACTCATAATATTCACTTCTATAGGGGTGCATGGGTGGCTCAGTCAGTTAAGTGTCTGCCTTCATCTCAGGTCATGATCCCAGGGTCCCGGGATCGAGCCCCACATCGGGATCACTGCTCAGCGGGGAGCCTGCTTCTCTCTCTCTCTCTGCCTGCTGCTCCCCCTGCTTGTGCTCTCCCTCTGTCAGATAAATGATAAAATCTTTAAAAAATACATTCACTTCTATATATGTTACACTACATTAGTTTGTACACATATCTCTAATTTTTTTAGGCTTCTTGAGGACCAATTCCATGTCTTGTACTATTTTATATCTTGAATTGCACTGTACAGGTAGTAGGTAATCAGTAAATATCTGTCAAAAGCTACTAACAAATAACCAGTGAAGATTTGGCAAGTTCTGGGGATTATAATATAGGAAAGCATTTATGATGCACCTCAAAGAAAATTAAGTACTACAACTTGTTAAAGACAAAAACAGTTACATAAAGTGTCTGACTGAGCGAACGGTCTTCATCTTTCCAAACATTTATAAAAGGGCTATTAAGCTTAACACATTTTGAGTTAAATCAGAATCATGGGAACAGGGGCGCCTGGGTGGCTCAGTCATTAAGCGTCTGCCTTTGGCTCAGGTCATGGTCCCAGGGTCCTGGGATCGAGCCCCACATTGGGCTCCCTGCTCAGCGGGAAGCCTGTTTCTCCCTCTCCCACTCCCCCTGCTTGTGTTCCCTCTGTCACTGTGTCTTTCTGTCAAATAAATAAATAAAAATTTAAAAAAAAGAATCATGGAAACAGACCACACGTTACTAAGCTTTATGAAACTCCAAATCCTTTGTTTCATATTAGAACAATAACAACATATCCTTGGTGATTATCTCATTCACCTTCTTCATGTTCCCTCCAAGAGCAGGATAAGGAGGTTTGTTGACCTGGCTCCAGTTGACCGGCACGCGGATCATTTCATAGAGCTGAAAGACCACTAAAGCATCTGCAAGGTCACTAAAACAAGAGGAAAAGATGATGAAGGAGGAGGAAATTTTATTAAGCACAATGGATATAGGCTTAGGTCTTCAAAAACACAACAGGGTCATTTAATCCTTAAAAAAATGACAGGACAAGGGCAGCTGGGTGGCTCAGTCAGTTAAGTGACCAACTCGTGATTTAGGCTCAGGTCATAATCTCATGGGTCATGAGATCAAGCCCTATGTCTGACTCCATTTTCAGCAGGGAATCTGCTTGAGCTTCTCTCCCTCTGCCCCTCCCCCCACTCGCTCATGCGCTCTCTCTAAAATAAATAAAGCTTAAAAAAACGACAAGATGTATCATTTGACCCAGAACTTTTTTTTTTTTCTTTTCTCAAATTATTTAAATTCTAGTTAGGTAACACACAGTGTAATATTGGTCTCAGGGGCAGAATTCAGTGGTCAACCCAGAATCTGTCCAAAACTTTTTTATAAATGTTTACAAAGACAGAAGTAAAAAGACATTTATTGCCACATTATTCATAAATTTGGAAGCAACTTAAATGCCTGGCAGTAGGGGACTGTTGAATAAACCATCCATACCATGGACTCTGGTCCACCATAAGAAATAAGGTAGATCTCTATGTACTGACATGAAAAGCCTTACAAGATATATTATGCTTAAAAAAGCAACTGGCAGAACACTGCATACAGTTCACCATGTCTAAAATTTATTTTCAAAATTGAGAGTATTTAAATACCTATATGTGCTATGGACTGTTAACAGCAATACCTCTGAGGAAGAAAAAAGGAATATGGGAGATGTAAGAGAAGTATTATCATGTTTTAATTCATTCTACTTACTTACACACTTCCTGAAATTTGTACAGTGAGAGTAAGTTCATGTATTACTTACATATTATGATTTTTAAAACCTTTAAAAATATACAAAAATCACAATAGCTACAAAGTAGGCAGTTGTTCATGTTAAATAATGAGGGTTAAAAGGAAGGAATTTATGAGCAAGTAGGCGTTATTGAAGTAAGAATAGTACTACTTTGGATTCAGAAAAACACATCCTTCTGAGATGCTCAAAGTATATCCATTGAGTCTGTTTTCAGTTTTGTATGCTAAGGACATAAAGCAACATCAATTGATTTTGAAAATTGCTGGCTCTGTGATGTATTATGTGGTTTTTCTCTTTCAACAGCTTGTTCACAGAGTTGTTTTGCTAAGATTCATATGAAAGTTACTTTGCAACTCTGGATACACACCCTATGGCAGTGAAGGGGACTGGGCCCTGTGCTGAGTGATGGAAAGATAAAATCTATTATGAAGGCAATTAAGAGCTGAGTGGGTTATCTATAAAAGCACATGGAGAATTTTATATAAAAAAATTACTAAAGGATTTGTTTTTTTTTTTTTAAAGATTTTATTTATTTGACAGAGAGAGACACAGCGAGAGAGGGAACACAAGCAGGGGGAGTAGGAAAGAAAGAAACAGGCTTCCTGCGGAGCAGAGAGCCTGATGCAGGGCTCGATCCCAGGACCCTGGGATAATGACCTGAGCCGAAGGCAGACGCTTAACAACTGAGCCAACCCAGGCACCCCACTAAAGGATTTGTATTGGTTCTGCATTTTTCTTTTTTACTTTAGGTGAATTCATTCTTATTTCTATTTAGAAAGTATTATTATTCATGTTTTGCAAATAGGGAAACTGAAGTCCAGAGAGTTGAAATGATTTCCAGAGAATTCAAGATGTATTCCTGAACCAACCTGTCATAGAAAAATTCTAGGACTAACATTTCTTCAAATATATTAAATAACTTGTGTAGGGGAGAGAATTTTCATTTAAAATCAATCTAAATTTTGCTAATGCTTTGGTTTGCTTTAGATTTGGTGTACTGCAGGAGAGGAGTTAAAATAACTTAGGGTTTAGGAATATGATCCAGACACAAATTCATAGACACACGGTTCTGGCGCCAACTAGACCTCTGGCTACTGTTTTTCTATATATGATAGTTCTCTTGAGGGTTATGTTACTTTTGAGAATTTTCTGAATTCCCTTTTCCAAAATAAAACTACATATGCCTAGAAGTCCTATGCTAGCACTTCAGGACTTTGACTAAAAAATGTGGTCAATTCTCTCCTCCACTGTCAACCATAGAGAACTCTAGTGATCATGACATTTATGAAAAAGTTACCATGAGTCTCACTCAACAAATCTTAGTCCCCTAGTATTAAATTTACTTTGTAATTTAAAAAGAAATTTACTTTGAAATTTACATGCTCATTGTAAAAAAAAAAAAGCATATTTAAGTCATTAAGATTAAAAATAAGTCTTCTCACTACTCTCCATCCTACTACCCAGGATGCATACAGTTTGGTATTCATCCCTCTGGGGTTTTAAAAAATTCATATACAAATGTGTATACACACAATTTTTCTGCAAGATAAGAAAGCAGTTTAATCCCAACATTTTTTATGCTATAAATGCTTATATTAAGAAAAGTTCAAATAAACAACTTACCATGACACTACAAAGAACTAGAAAAAGAAGAAACTTATCTGAAATTTAGTAGAGGAAAGAAATAATAAAGAAAAATCAGAAATAAATAAGAGACCAGAATAAACAATAACTTAACATTGAAAGTAATGACCAGTTTAAAAAAAAAAAATGGCAATGCTTTGTATATACTCAATTTTAAAATAAAAATGGAATCACACTAGACCTATTATTTTCTTCTTTTTTTAAAAAAGATTTATTTATTTGAGAGAGAAAGCAGCAGAGAGGGGATGGGGGTGGCAGAGGGAGAGAATCTTAAGCAGACTCCCTGCTGACTGTGGAGCCCCACACAGGGCTCGCTCTCACAACCCTGAGATCATGACTCTGAGATCACAACCTGAGCTGAAACCAAGAGTCGGGTGCTTAACCGACTGTGCCACCCAGGTACCCCTGAGGTATTATTGTTTTCTCTCAAATATATATTATAGACATTCTTTCCCATTATTCTATAAAGATCTTATCCCTCCCTCACCCCTCCTCCCTCCCAGGATTTGATTCCTTTACTGCCTTGCTACTATAATGAGAGTTCCAGTCTAAATGATATATATCTGTCATCTAGGTGGAATTTACACACTTTTAAAGAGTTCATCAAATATCAGTCCATCACATCAAAGCCAGTTACCATAAGGTAGTACTGGTTTTAGATTTTATTTTTTTAATCTTTTTAAAGATTTTATTTATTTGAGACAGAGAGAGAGAAAACACAAGTTGGGGGAGGGGCAGAGGAAGAAGGAGACTCCCTGAAGAGCAGGGAGCCCAACAAGGGACTCGATCCCAGGCCCTTGGGATCATGACCTGAGCCGAAGGCAAACGCTTAACCGACTGAGCCACCCAGGTGCCCTAGTTTTAGATTTTAAACAAAATTTTGCATGTACACCAAGAAGCAGAAATTACTGTATCATAAATCCTCAACTGGCCAGTGAATTGGTCTTTTGAGGTAGATTTTGGCAAAAATAGAAAGTGTGAATTATAATTTAAAATACTGATATAATGATAAGAACAATTTATAAAATATTACTATTCTAATCTGTTACAGTTGAAATATTTTATTTTTCTGATCAATAATTATAAAAGAGTACGACGAATTATCTTTACCAAATTGGTTGTTTATATCATCAAAAATTGTAACTATTATCATATTCTGATCTTTTTAAATAATACTTTACTTTTCTTTAAAAATCCATTGTATTGCCAATCTCCAGCATTCTGAAATTATAAATGTTGGTTAAAATTCTTGTGATTTTTAGAAAATGTACTAATGTAAACATACCTATGGTTTGAAACTAGAAAAGTTGGATTTTGGCTATAAAACTAAAACACAATAAAATATTTACCTGTACAAATGATTAATGTATGGGTTGACCCCCAGGGAATTCATCCAGTTCCGAAATGTTCTCTCTTCCTTGCTCTCTCCTAGAGTAGACACAAGTTCATACTGATGATTCCAGACAAAAAGCATCAAGAAATATATTTTAAGCCATCCTGGCAGGTGCAAACCAGCCATACATACTTTGCTGTGGTTTCTGTGATACTACAATCTTTTGGGGAAAGGTAAGTCTTACTGCCAAAGTCCCTTCTCCCCACCCCGCCCCTCTGTCCAGAAGGCCTCCATTTGCTCTAAATTTCTCTCTCTAGAGTCCTTTGATGTCTGTGAACTACTGAGTCATGGGTTTCTCTGTCCAGAAAGTGACAAAGAAACTTATATGGTCGTATCTGTAGTTACGATTACATGCAAAAGGGACTGGCTAAAAATTAATGAAACAAAATCTTTTAGCAGTCAGGGTAACAGCACAGTAAACACAAAAGAAAAGCTGTGCTTTTCCCAATGCAGTGTTTCTAAATTTGTATAGATTTTGGTTTTACACAGGGAAGTTTCTGGGCACGCAAACTTACATTTTAATTACACCAAACAGCAATGAAGGGGAGAGGGGGATTACAGGTAATATAAAAATAAGCAATGAAGGGACAGAACTATTTTACAGGCTTCCTGAGTTATTTTAGATTGTCACTACTGAAAACACATGAGGGACACAGCCCCCACACAGGGTGCTAAGAGAAAGACATCTTATCCTAGTAAGTCCCTAGACCTCAGAGATCACCTCAGCAAGAAACTCCTTGCAGACACTTTTAACCTGTGATTACCTAGCCTCCCTGAGCATTCCCTTCATAGCATCTACAAGAAAATGTGGGCTATCATGTACCACAGAGTGGGCAGAGAGCGAGAGGGACTCTCCTTGCCATGTCTGCTTCTAGTCATCTCCCAGACTGCAAATCCTGGTGACTATCTGTAGTATTATTTATTTTCAGCAAAGGTAGGGGGCAATGGAATGTCCTAACCTACATCTCATCACCAGACTCGTGAAAAACTGAAACATTTACACCTCTCATCACTTCTAAACTGTAGGCTAGTTCATGTCACTCTCTAGACTTTGACTCATGTGGGATTCCCAGAACAATGGATCATCTAAATCTATAACCAACTGGGCCCCAGGGACCCATTCCTATAGAGCCATCCCTGCAATCATCTTCAGAATAAGTGCCACAGGTAATATAACCTTGCACACCCAGAAAAGAAACCAAACCTTATAAAATCTAAAGGATTCTGTTATTTTGTGCAGCTGTTCGGGAAATAATCTGTCCATTATATTTTCATTTGATTTTCTATGCTAATACCTAACGGCATTCCCAGAATCTACTTTAATTCTTACTCTATTAAATTGTGTAGCCATGTAATTTCTTAAATTTTGTTCCCTCTGGCCTGCATAAAAGGTAATGACCAGTCTGTTGTATTTGCCACTATCACTTTATGATAAATAACCTACTTGAAAACCCTTTAAAAAAGAACCAAGTTAAACTAAATATCCTAGGAACCATGCTTCCCTGTTTGTAGGAGTTATTAAACAAGTATAAATTAAATATCTGAACTTTCCCCAAAGCGACATAAATATAAGCGTACTATCATCAACAATTTGATGCATGTGACTTGGATTTACCTTTTAGTTGTTTCTATATTAAAATCTGTAATTGATTTTTCACTAGTAATTAGAGAAATTTTACATTATTTCCTTCTGGGAAAATCCAAGTTATGTTTTAAAATTACAAACATTGATAGTGTAACAACAGTCTAATCTTTAATTGAAATAATATCCAAATTCTGCTGAACCTGATGATACAGCAAATAATACCTAAAAAGATACTAGTATTTTGACTGAGTTCTGAAACTGTTATAAGCTTCAGGGGTTCATATTTCTTCCCATTGTTCTCAACTGATTATATTGTTATTATTTTCATTTTTGATGCCTGGAAAGTAAAATAGATTATGTAAGTGAGCATTTATTTATCTGATGCCATTTCAAATTGTCTTGGTAAATAAATGCTCAAAGCCAGAAGCACTATGCATTTGTGCAAGAGCCATGATAAAGCATTACAAAAACATATGTATTCCAGATTGTAAATGTTGTCTGTATTGCAGACAACTAAAGCAATCCTAGAAGTTAAATGTTGATTGCTGATATAAAAGATAGAAAAAACTATAAAACATTTCGTTTCAGGGCCAAACTTATATCTGCAATTGACAAAAGTTTCAGAAAAAAATAACAAATATACAGTAAGTAGACTACTAAGAGGAAAGAAAAGGAACTAACATATATTTAACACTCACTAAATGTGCGAAGTGATGTTTTCCTCTTTCCAACCTATTACTGAGCACATACTGTATGCTAAACTCCTTCATTCCTCAAAGGTCATTTTAACTTGCTCTGTAATTCTTCAAAATTAGTATTATTAATCTTGGTTTATAGATGAGAAAACCAAAGCTCATGGAAGTCACACAGATACTAAATGGTGGACCCATAATTCGAACAAAGTGTAATACCACGGACTATATATTTTCTATCACCACAAATGAATTCTGAGATGGCCTCTCTATACATAGCCCACATATTTGGCTCAATTTAATATGAAGGGTTTTTTTATTCAGTTGGGCTTTTAATTTTCTCTAATTCCATTCAGATAAAATTCTTTACCAATGAGAACATGAATATGGGATGTGATAAAGTCAAGCTTCAAATTTCATAAGGATCTATAAAAACAAATTTACAGAGGAGAAATTCCAATGACAGTCGAAGTCAAATACATTTTTTGGCAGACGTATCAGGATATACATATGTTCTAAATAAAGATGATTGATAAATATTTCCCATAGTATCTTCTTATATAGAGTAAATACTAATGGAAATGTTTAGCAATCCTATTCACACTGAAAAATTCCAAAAGCATGCTGAACACTAGCAAAAGAATTCAAACATGACAAAAGAGCGAGCAAGTTGGAAAAGATATCTAGCAAGAACTCAGTGACTATAAAAAGATCATTTTTAATATGCCACTCTAAACAATGCCTTCTATTGTAAGATACAGAGGCATTTTGAAATTTTCCAGACTGATGAAAACTTAGCAGTCTTCCGTTTTAATTTTTTTAAAGTTCTAATCCCTCACCCTCAATTTCTCTGCTGAAAAATCTATACTTTTATCTATCTTCCCACTCAATTACATACCTATGCAGAGAATAGTCTTTTTTTTTTGTTTTGAGAATATAGTCTTTATCTTTCCTCTCAATTACATATCTATGTAGAGAATATAGTCTATTTTACTGGACCTCAGGAAGAGTGAATTGAATTAATCATATTCCTCAAAGAACATACTTGTTAAATCTGAAACTTCTTTCATTAATCAAGAAGATGCAATTATAAAGTGTCAAGGACACTGGAACTCTGGTTTTGGCAGTCAAAGAGAAGAAGATCATGAAACTGATTTCTCATTCTATCCCCCTCCCCGGGGAAGGAAGGGAGTAAGGCAGGTGATGCGAGAGAAAGGACTCTGCAACGTCAGATTCTCTCTGCCAACAAGAATCCTACTTGAAGACTGCCTTCTCCAAACCAGGGCAACTAGTGAGAATATTTTAGGATGGGCCCCTCCCTCTGACTGCTGCCACTGTTTTCACGTTTAGTTCTGATTCTAATATGGGTTTGGGTATGCGTATGAGAGTATGAGAACCAAAAAGAAGACAGGCCAGGAAACAAAGATAGGGAGAAAGAACTAGATAGCAAGAATGTTTCTGTCGTCACGACAATTCATATATCATAAGCTTCAATGACAGTCAAGAAATGTAACATAACTAATACAAATAAAACCTAAACAGATCCTTCCAAAGATTACCAGTGATAAAAGGTAAGTGTGTTTATTCACAGGAGAAGGATAAAGGCTTTACAACACGAAATCCAATTGTCAAAACTGATTTTTAGTGTGTTTACAACTATAGTATCCCATCATTACAGAAAGCAAATTCAGGGGAGAGTTTACATAATCAAGCCTTGCTATGCTATTCTAATTCAGTTTCATTTGTGTTTCTTCCTTGTTGTCATTCTTTAGGCATATTAAGACAGAAAAAACACAGCATGAACAATGCAAAAAATAAATATCAACCCAGAGAGAAAGAATAAATGGTACTAATAAAAAGAACATTCAGAATGAATGTATTTATAGGGTATAGAAAAGTACTAAATACAGTACCTACATTAGGAGGGGTCAAATCTGCATTTCACGAAGCAAAACAGGAAAGTATTATAAATTATGAGACAGATAACAATAGCCCACACACAACAAGACAAGTAATGAATATTTAAAATTTTTTCATGTACATTAAAAACATTAAAAAGAGAACAATACTGGAGTCAAACTGTAGCTTTCAAAGGAGGAAAAAAAGCTACAAAATGATTATTTTTTCCAATAGATAATTCATTGTCCATATTGGTGGTGGAGTTATGTTATGTGGCCATTTAAGAGACTACTTTAAATGTATGATAGTTTTCACTAAACTCTGATGGAGAAATGACAGACAAGTAAGATTTACCCCAGCATTCTCTTTTAACAAAACCAACAACCACTTTCCTTAATACGAACTTTTTAATGGATGCACATGCCTACACACAGTAAACTGCATCTCCCACCACAATCCCCTACCTCTGACAGTGAAGTAGTCAATACCACAAGAAGATGCAACAGTGAAGCAATTAAAGGCAGAAAGAACATACCTTCCAGTAAATTCATATCGATGTCATTATCAGGCTTGTGTAGGCAGGGGTATGTGTTAAACAGATTAGCTACAAAAGCTAAATTAAGTTTAGGATTGCCTGAAACCACATCTGCAGGAGTAACAAACTGTTTGCAGCCCAGTTTATCTGCTTCTTGAAGCATGAATCCAGCACGCTTCAGGTCGTTTTTCTCCTAAACAACAAAATAAAACAAAAACGGTCAACATTAAACTTTTGATTGGCATAATTTTTTTATTGATACACATATTTAAAAGTAATCACTTTTCTAGAAATATATTAAATGACAGATCAAAATAAACTCTCAAATTTTCTATCAGTCAGCTCCTACTGGTCAAATTATAGATAATTTGGTCAAGATCATACCTTTTGGCTAAGAGGCTTAGTTATCTCACCCATTCTACTCTGAATAATATTTCCAGTAGACTCTTTTCTCAATGAAAAACAAGTTGGGATACAAATAAAAAATTATTAAAATCAGAAGAATAGCACTTTTCACAAGTGCGAAATCCTAGAAACAAACCAAGTACTTGTCAACAGGAAAGGAGACAAACTGTGTCGTATTTATATAGTAACATCGAACAATGTGAGTGACTTAGCAATATATGTTCAAAATAAGCATTTAAGTACAAGGTAATAAGCTTTATGTGAAGTTAAAAAGTAAAATGACAAATTTAGTTTTGTAAGGGATATATTTGGTTGAAAGAAAACTATACAAAAAGAGAAGCAAAAGAACAATGAGCGTAAGACTGAAGACGGTGATTATCACATTAAGGTGAGGCAGAAAGATGGAATAGGGAAGAAGAAGAAAGCTAAACATAAATTACTATCAAGGCCTTAGCTTTCTTGTTGGAGTGACGGTTCATACGGACTTGTTAAAATTTTAAAACAACTACAAACAAAAATAAATAAAAAGAGGGACATGCACGGACCCATGATGAGAGTGTATCATGTCCAAGAATTATGACTTATCTCATTTTGTGCATCAGTTACAAAAAAGTAAAAATGTAAATGAAATCAGAGAAAGCAATAGGTTTAATGCTATTAAACAATAAAAAGTTCCTAACGTAGACACGAGCAAATAATAATATGTGGACCTTATTCAGATCTTAATTCAAATAAACTATAGAAAGAAAATCTGACATTTAAGACGCAATTGGAAATGCCAATGTTGACTAAATATTTTGATGATATAGATTATTGCTAATTTCTTTAGGTCTGATAAGGTATTATGGTTATATTTTTCAAGTTTATCTTCTAGAAATACATATTGAAATACTTATCAATGAAATGTTTGAAGCAAATGTTTGCTTCAAAATAATATGGGAGAGGAAGTACAGGTGATAAATGAATAAAGACTAACCATGAGCTGATAGTTGTTGAACCTGGGGGATGAGCACAGGGTAGTTTATTATACTGAGTTTGTTCATTTTTTTATTATGTTTGAAATTTTCCGTACGTTTAAGTTCTTAATTTTTTGACTCAAACTAATTTGCTAATTTTGCAGTTTTGCAATACTTTCTCAAATGTTTCATTGTAATAATGTAAAATATAATTCATTTGTAATGACTCAATTTGCCTTTAAAACCATTATGGATGTTGCACTTTAAATACTTAATAGATTTTCATACAAACTATATCTGATCAGATTTTAACGTTGAGACAGAACTATCCCCAGTATTTACAACTTATGCTAAAAAATGGGCTTCCTAGGAAATGCATTAGCTAGGCCAGGATCTGCGTCAGTCCTTCCTACACCATAAACACTAGAAACTGCCATCTTTTATTTTGTGTATTTCTGAATATAAGTTGGAAGAACTGATTATCAGTTGCTTAGCAATGGTTTGTTACTCCCTTTCCTAGTATACAGTGATAGTCACCAAAGCACCCTTGTGAGTTCCAGTTATATTGCACCAGGAAGAAGTGGATGTACGGTTAATTCCACACATACTCAACATCAGAATTCTGTAATTACCCTTCTTCAGTTATGACAGCCAGATGGCTTAGTATGGAGATCTGAAGCCTAGGGCATGAAAAACTTCTGAAGAACAAAGGGCCAAGGTTTAATGAAGAGCTGAGGACTCCATCAGGGAATGCTGCCTATAGAGAATTGCACTCTAAATCTGACTGTACTCACTAGTCAAATTCACAGAGATAGAAAGTACAACAGCGGTTACCAGGGGTTTGGGGGAGAAGGGAATAGGGCGTTATTGTCTAACAGGTATAGATTTCACTTTGGGATGATGAAAAGTTCTGGAGATGGATAGTGGTGATGGTTGCACTCACTGCAAATGTACTTAATGCCAAAGAACCGTACACTTAAACATGGTTAAAATGGTAAATTTTGTCAATGTATATTTTACTGAAACATAAAAACCTTTAATTAAAAACTGTACTTACATTAAATCCTGAAAGGTCAATGGTAATGGTACGTTCATCACCCCGGTCACCTTTTGGTGCAATCTGATTAAGCAGATGAAAATAGGCTCTTGAATCCTTTAAGGAAAGACATGAAATAGAATTTTTTAAATGAATAAAATCATCATTTGATTTAGGGAAATAGTACTCAAACTGAAGAAATTGTCCTCATCTTAAAGAATGGAATAACTTAGTAACTTTACTTATTACTTACAGGCTCCTGAATGCACTATGCTGGTTTCACACCTCACAGCTTCTAGCGACACTGTTCCCTACACCTAGAATACCTTTCCTCACCTTTTCATTTATTTACACCCCAAGCGTCAGTTAAGATTAGGGTCAAGTATTATCTTCTGGAAGCCTTCCCCCCTTTAACTGAGACTGGCCTTGTGACTTGCTCTGAACAACAGAATGCAATGAAAGTGATGTACTGGGGCTTCCAGGCCCAAGCTGTTAAGAGCTTCTGCTTCCTCCCTCTTGAAGTTGGCCTCCACGGAGGAGGTCCAACTATCTGAGACTATCACGCTGTGAGGAAGCACAAGCTAGCCTTATGGAAAGGCCTCATGGAGACGCTGTGAGGCACTAGACATGTGAGTGGTGCCCTTGTGCACCCTCCAGACCAGCCCAACTGACAGCTGAATGCAAATGAGTTTTATCCCAAACAAAAGCATCTGAAGCAGAACTACTTAACCAAGCCGCATTAACCCACAGAATCATGAGAAACGATATGGTTATTTTAAGCTATTAAGTTCTGAGTGGCTTGTTAATACCAATATGTAACTGAAATATCCATCCACTAAATGTCTATCTCCCTGTGTAACTGGTGAGCTTCTCAAGAGCTAAATCTTTGCATCCCCTATGCCTGGCATAATACCCCATAGGAAGGATTTAATAAAAATCTGATGAACTGAATTTTAAAATAACAGAGCTCCCCAAAATAAATTTTTAAATGAGCATATAATAGATGAAAGCAGAGAAATACAATGTCACTTCAAAGAAGGATTGTCATCTAAGCCCATTATGACAAGAACATAATCTGACTGAAGGTGTTAATATAGCTAGAGATAAAATACGGATAAATGCCAATGCTGATTAGTCTGGGTGGGGGAAGAAAGCATAGAGAAGGAGTCACAGAGACCCAATCTGGCAATGCATGTCTAGGAAGTGACCATGGGAGAACTGTTAGGCACACTGAATGTTATAGTTTCACTGATAAGCTCTCCCGGTAGGGAGAGAAGCATTTCAAGCTATTTTGGTTGAGAAACATACCTGAGGAATTCTTTTTGTCTACTGATTCCCTGTGCCCTCGGATATTTGGTCTCCTGTTAGCTGGTTATTGGCAAAGTGGTAGCAAGAGTGTTGAACTGGTCAGGCCCACAAGGGCCGTTAGTCCAGTGAACAGAGGAAGTCTCAGTCCAAATTAATAGACTGACATCCTCATTATAACTTAGTCTCTCTGTGGCATATAAAATGGGAAAGAATGCTTTAATCTGCTAGGGCTAGTATCTCCTTCTCACAGCCAGTTGTAGTTCTTCTTAAATACCAATAAACCAGTTTTTTTCCTTATTGCAAAAGAAAATTTTGTCCTTTTTATATTTTTAAGTCCTTATTTAAATTCCAGTTAGTTAATATACAATGTAATAGTAGTTTCAGATGTACAATACAGTGATTCAACACTTCCATACAACACCTGGTGCTCATCACAAATGTACTCCTTAATCCCCATCACCTATTTCACCCATTCCCCCATCCACCTCCCTTCTGGTAACCATCAGTTTAAACCAGTTCTTTTTTAAATAAAAGGATTTTGCAATTATAATTGGGAGATCCACCTCAGACAGAAAAATGCAAAATTTCATTTTCTACACTGTGTCCGTATGAAATAAACTTCAATTCAAAATTAATTCTGAACACTTTTTGTTTTTCTGCATTCTACATCCTTATTTTATATCACAGTTATGAACATTAAGATATAAACCCTAGGGGCGCCTGGGTGGCTCAGTCGTTAAGCATCTGCCTTCGGCTCAGGCCATGATCCCAGGGTCCTGGGATCGAGCCCCGCATCGGGCTCCCTGCTCGGCGGGAAGCCTGCTTCTCCCTCTCCCACTCCTCCTGCCTGTGTTCCCTCTCTCGCTGTGTCTCTCTATGTCAAATAAATAAAATCTTAAAAAAAAAAAAAAAGATATAAACCTTAATGTCTTGGCTGAAGTTTTTGATGGTGTGCCATCCTGCATTGGTCAGGTGGTAGTTCACCCATCGCAGCAGTAATTCCTCTGGAGAAAGCTTCATCAGCTCTTCTAGATCCTCACCTTCATTTAGCAATGCAATTAGAGCTGAAAAGAAAACAATGAAATATAAATTTTTCCCACAGTAAGTACATGTCAATGAAAAGTAAGTATTTTTGATGATCTTACCTTCGTTCCTGGAAATCTCAATATCAGCCAAAAGACCAACTTTGATGATCTGCCAGAGAAGTCCCAAGACCAAGTGAGGTTTTCCTTCTTTAAGATCCTGTGCACCAATGTTGACCACTGTACAACCGATGGCTGAGGCAGAATTCAGGGCTAGGTTTAAGTTTTCCTGAATTGCCGCAAAGAAAATTATGTGTGAGAAAGTACTTTCCAAAGTCTTATTGACAAGTTGTAAAGGTAAATAAAAAGCAATAGATTGTGAAAATTCAGCTTTTGAAACATAAGTAATATTTATACAAGCAAAATACTACTATTCAAAGAAAAAAAATCCCATGGTTTTAACTAGCACTTTACTACTTGATCTCTTTCCCTTGCTTTCATAGTTACTGTTTGTCATTTTCATCCCTTCGTATTTCTCTTCTTTCATACATCATGATACTACATAAACCCATCATCATGAGGTAAAAAACTATGTTATCAAACTTTACAATCTTTTACAAATGAATGAGGCTTCTTTTGGATAAAGTTTCATGGGAAACTAGTAGTATTCTAGCCGATCTATTCCCAGAGCTCTAAAATTACTAAAAAAAAAAAAAAAAAAAAGACAGATTTAATATCCACAGTAACACTTTGCTCCTTCCCAGAGATCTTTTTTATTCTACATTAGTATACTCTTTCAAGCCTCCCAAAGATCTAGACTATTACCCCTACTCATATTGGAAGACTGTCATCTCTAAAAATAAAACTGTAAAAGACTTAGCCCCTCGGGCCCATCCTGTAGTTATTGCAAAATAGCTACAGAATTTTTTTCTTTATTTTCCTTTAATGCACTGCATACAAATGTTAAAAGTAAAACCAGACAATAAATTTGTACAACACTGAGAAATGCTGTATTTCAGAGCCAGTGTCATAAAAAATTATGACACGTATCCTAAAAATAAGATGTATGAATATTTTCAACAATCATAGATATTAAACAAAGCATCCCAACACAAGATGTGAAAGAAAATAAACTTCTGGCAATTGCAATCAGAAATGAGCTTCTTCAAGAATGGTAGTTTCTGCTAGGAATATGCAATATTATTGCTTATTGGAAAGTGGGAGACAAGAAAGCCATATTAGTCAACATCCAATTCATACTCCCCAATGAGGATACAGGAAATAGGAGTACCCCTTGGATACTCCAAGACTAACCATGTAACACTGCCCTAAAGTTGTAGCTTCCCTATAAAAGAGGCTTAACAACTTTAGCAAAATCGAGGATTGTATTTGCCAAGAGAAATGAGGGAAATAGCTTAGAATTAGCTCACTTTTAATAGCTGCAGCTGTGACTAGTATATGCACTAGTTGCTATTACCACTACCACACAAGAGTGGCAGTACACAGTGATTATAAGGTGGGCTCTAGAGCTAGACTGCTGGGATCATATCCTGGTTCTGCCACTGGGTAACCTCTCAGTGCCTCCGTTTTCTCATCTGTAAAATCGTAGCATCTACCTCATTTTAAGGGTGCTGGGAAGAGTCAAAGAGATAACTTATGCAGTTTGTTTAGAATAGTGGCTGGTACCCAGTAAGTACTTAGTAACTATTGATATCCAGCACTGCTCTAGAGATTTTGAGGGGAAAAGTATGGTGACTATAAATTCTTGGACTTTAACAAGACCTGAATGGAGAAGCTGACTACAGAACAATATATTAAAAAAGAATAGCTCAAATTCTGTGAAATAGTAAAACATGGAGTAAAACTATATAGTACTCTTATTTCAACCAAGAACAACAGCATCAAGCAAATATTCACTAATAAAAGCAACTCAATTGTTACAATAATATAACATGAATACTATTATCTTAAGTAAAGTTCATCTAAAGCACTCTGAACAATGTTTGTTTGCTTGTTTGTTTGTTTTAGGTGGGCTCCACGCTGGGGCTTGAACCCACAACCCCACAATTAAGACCTGAGCTGAGATCAAGAGTCAGATGCTTACCCAACAGAGCCACCCAGGCGCCCCCCCATCCAAAGCTCTTTGAATCTTTATTTCATTCAGTACAAAACTGAAGCTGAATTTTTATTTAATAAAACCTAGTTTTTATAAGAAACTGAAATTATGTTAAATCCAACGTTTACATGAATGGACCCTTGAAGGCATTATGCTAAATGAAATAAGTCAAAGACAAATACTATATGACCTCACTTATATGTGGAATCTAAAACAAAACAAAGCAAAAATTACCAAACTCATAGAAAAAGAGATCAGACTTGTGGTTAGCAGAGGCAAAGGGTTGGGCGGGGGGGAGGAAAAACTGGAGGAAGGTGGTCAAAAGGTACAAACTTGCAATTTTAAGATACTTAAGTACTAGGGGTGTCATGTACAACAAGATGACTACAATTAACACTGCTGTGTGGTATGTAGCGAAGTTGTTAAGAGAGTAGATCCTATGAGTTCTCATCACAAGGAGAAAATTTTTCTTCTTTTCCTTCTTTCTCTCTTTTTCTTTTATTGTATCTATATAAGAAGATGCATGTTAGGTGAACCATTGTGGTAATCATTTCACAATATATGTAAATCAAACCGTCACACTGTATGCCTTAAACTTACACTGTAAAATATGTCAATTATTTCTCAATATAACTGGAGTAAAAAAAGTTTTGCCTGGGCCTAAGTACCCATTAATAAAGGCCTTACATTTTACAACACAGTACATGATTATTAGCAAAGGGCAAATACTTACAGAAATAGTGAAAGGGGTGAGCTTTTTCTTATTAATGGCTCTTTCATCAATTGTGTCTGGTTCAGATAAGTTGATCATTTTGCTATAGGAAAATGGCAGTAATTAAGCTTACGACTCCCAGTTTAAGATAAATAATTTACGTTAAATTATTTAAGACTTTTTAGTTTGTTTTTACAAGTAGACAAAATAGTTAAATTTTGAAAAGTAGTAACAATCCATTTCTTTAAAATATAATGTGATTCATGTCAGGGACTTACTTTTTAAAATCTAAGAAATATTCTGTAACCTAAAACAAATCCATCACTCACTGCAATAGTAATCTTAGCACTTCCTCCTAATTTTTTTTTAAATTGTCTTGCATTTTCTTTATGTGAGTCCTGTCTCTATTTCATTTAATGATCATCAACATTCAGCAGTCTGAAATGTAAAACAAATTCTTTTTTTTTTTTTTTTAAAGATTTTATTTATTTATTTGAGAGAGAGAATGAGATAGAGAGAGCATGAGAGGGGGGAGGGTCAGAGGGAGAAGCAGACTCCCTGCTGACAGCAGGGAGCCCGATGTGGGACTCGATCCTGGGACTCCAGGATTATGACCTGAGCTGAAGGCAGTCGCTTAACCAACTGAGCCACCCAGGCGCCCTGTAAAACAAATTCTTAAGAAGCCAAGTTTCATAAAGTGGTATCAACAGTGTCAAAATTACTGTTGTTGCAGAAAGAGCCAGAGACATGGCCTAAAATTTCAATAACTCAAACATTTTAAGAGAAATTAATATAAAATTTATCTCTAGATTTTAGAATATATTTTATATTTTAAAATAAAGATAGAAAAATACCCATTCAATTCATAATAGGAATTTCCTCTGAAGGTCAGAAAAAGAGATTAGAACTGTAGGTAGAAGTCAAGGTATATTTTATATGTTACTTAAAAACTAATATCCTGTACTTGTGCGTAGGTTGGAGTTTTTTTTTTCAAGTAAAAACACAGAAAAAAAAAGACTGAAAGAAACATGCCAGAATATTAATAATAGCTAACTATGGGTGATAAGAATATTTGTGATACTTACTCTTCTAAGTTTTCTATATTTTTATAAACTTAAAAAAAAAAAAAAAGACACCTGCTTTGTACAAAGAAGTATGCTGGGACTGTAGTACACAAAACAGAAACGAAGATATGCCCCTAGAGAGCTTACAGTCTAGTGAGCAGAAACACACTGCAAAGAGCCAAGGATATGACAAGACTGACTTAAAACATTAATTTCACTTAACCAAAATGAGATGTATCTTTCTTTTACATTTCCTCATGTCCCTGTCCCAGGCAATAATTCTTTATTAAAAATGAAAAAAAGAAACCTTGTGGACATTTTTAAATACATCAAAGGAATAACTCAAAACTATCCTGGCAGCAGTAAGGAAATAGAAAAGGCATCAGAAAACTAAGAGATTGCACTTAAAGAAAAATTTTGGAAAGCATCTGGTACTTAATTTTCCATGCGATATAAATTCTTCAATACCTACATAGCTACTTGTTTGCTGAGTTGTAGTTTTTACTGAATGCTCATCAACGGGGAAAGGAAGAACCTATCTCCCTTAACCTAATGTTCAACTCACCAAAGAAGGATGCCATCTGCAAGTGACTTGAAAAGGCTGCCATCATTGGGATTCATGGGTAGGAGATGCTTACAGTCAGGGTCATCCTCCAGGGCTTTGTTGATCCAGTTAACAAAAGCCACTTTTTCTTCCTCTGAAAACAGAAAATCTTAGTCAGCAAACCAAATTTCACAAATTTTACAAATGAACGGCATCTTAGACTTGATGAACTATCAGATTTAGTGAGTGAATCAATGACTGAAAGATCAAATTTAGATTGGCAGATTACCTGCATAAGAATGCTGTGTGCCCTCACTGGAAATGGATGAAGTTCCTCCAATAGCAGTAATTCCTTCTCTCTTGTTAATTGTTTTGCGGAATGTCCTGCTGATGTCTTTGCTTTTTAACTCTTGCATCAGCTGGAATGGAATATAAGTAAAATTGAGCCTTGATCAGACAATCAAAAAAACTTGCAGTGTGAAGGATAATTATTTAGACTTCTTTATTTATTTGGAATATCAAAATAAATCCCAATCAGGTATTCCCACCCTTATTGGTTGTGTACACAGATACCTCTCATGTCATCTTACCCAGAGCACAAAATGTATAAACGTCTGCACCCCAAATACTAGAAGAAATTTTGTTATAATTAAGCTTAAATTGAATACACTGAAATTATTCTCCTGTGCTTGCCACGACCTTTTGTTGTGTCTTTTGAAAACTAAAGAATAACTAACTACATGATATTTTTAAATGCTTTAATGAAGATATTTGCCTGTCTGAACATTGCAAAGTTAAAATCAGTAAGTCAGACACTGCAGGAAATTTGAGAGGTTTGGAGAAATGCCCTCTCCCAATCACTCTCATAATTGGCTAGACTGAATTTAATCAGTACTCCAAGCAGCAGCCAGAGTGAGTTTTTAAAAAAATCTGAATCTGATCATGTCACTTCACACTCTCTTCTTCCTACATCACTGGCTTCCTATTGCTCTTATGATAAAAATGAGAATCCTACAAGACCCTTATGACCTGACCCCAACTTACTTCCCCAGCTGCATTCCATCCCCTTACCATCTCGCCCTATCCACACTCAGCTTTTTTCCAAGTGCTTGAGAGTATCTACCATCCCTAAAGCCACACAGGGCCTCCACATAGGCTGTCACTTCCATCGGCCTCGCACATCATTCATTTTCCCCACTCAGCCCCTTTGATCTGTTTAACATCTTTCTTCAGATCTCAGCTCAGTCTTCATAGCTCCCAGGACACATTCCCTGAGTCCCTGGGTTCCGCGGCCTCACCATCAAGTTCTATTTCCATATGACACATACAGTCCTGGTGGAGGCATAGGAAGAAGTGCTCAGCTGGCAATGGCAATGGCAATATGGTCAAGTCATCTCTCTTGGCCCAAGAGTTTGAAATACATGATATTCAAGATTCAGTTCTACAACCTATTTTTCTTCTGTTGGTTAAGTCACGTATTATTTTTCATCTTGTTCAGTTCCCTGAGCCTTGAGGTACTTTAATAATGAAACAATGCTACCATAGCTAGCACCAAAATCTACCTTGTGGCATTTGCTGAAACTAAAGGTATAACTTATCACAAGGAAATAACCAGTTTCTAGGAAGTATAGCTTCCATACCTTAGCTATGTCAGTCACAAAAAATATTCCATTTCTCAAGACCAAGTACTGAGACATTAAAACATTCTGTATACGGATAGTCAGTAAAAACCGAACTCAACTGTAGTTTTACTAGCACATGAGCTATTACTGTCAAAACCTGACTTCTAACAATTTGAGAATGATTTTTCCCTTTCTTTTATGAATTATTTGTAGACACTCTTGTTACCATCATCATCATCATCACCACCATCATTAGAAACAGTGCTTTTTTCTGGTCTCTGCAGCCAGATTTAACCAAAGAGAGCAATGACATTACTAAAATCCTGCTCAAAGCTAAAAGATCAGTAACCAGGAGAGGATGGGATTACTTACTGACACAAACTCTTGAAAACTGATTTTGCCATCTTTGCTGCTGTCAGCAACTGCTAGAATTTTCTCCACAATTTCGCGCACCTTGTATCCAGGCAGAGGAAGGCTTGCTTCCTTAAACAGGTCCTGAAGTTCATAGTCACTAACATACCCACTGTTGTCAATATCTGTAAAGATAAATTATGAGCTGTCAAATATCATTTGCACTCTTCATTAGAGGTGTGCACCCAGAAGGCCTAGTGGGAGATTCATAGGCAGGTAGAACCTTTCAGGTTTGCTCCACAAGTTGCAGTCACCTTTTCTCCTGTATCTGAACAGTACAAGGTAGTCTATACACTTGTCAAAAAAACTCATATTTAAATGGACTTTATCCACACAGATTTAGGACTCCATGCGTATTTTAAGTACATAGTATGAACACTGCTCTGACAGATGAAAAACCCAGGCTTAGCACACAACTAAATTTCAAAGAACTAAGCATGGACAAGTCTCAGAGAGCTAGAAGAAACAGCAGCAATGGTCATGAGGGAATACCTACCAGATTTTAACTCCTTCAGAGAATTTACAAAATGGGTCTGCAGGTTCCACACTGTGTATAAAATATGTGCAGATTTGTGTAGTAAATACAGTAAGGTATTTCTGTTATACATTTCACTTGGTGGCAGTTCTGTTTCATTTGTCAATAATTCATTGCTTCTTCATTATGTATTTATGATACCATTATGTAGGCTGAATCATGTTTGATGTCACTTTGACATTAAGTGTTCAAGAAATAATTTCACACCTGTATTTGGACTTCTGAAAATAGGTTTCCAGGCATTTTCACATTATCACTGAGGTGCCCTTCCCTAGGTTTTCCCTGCAGATTAGATATCACTTCTTGACACAGAACAAAGAAAACACAAAACACTCCTGCCCAGAGTTGGCAACAGAACTTTGGATTGTTTGGTTAGTTGCCTGGATCCACCTTGTTATATAGGCTTTCTTGGCTCATCTGCTTATAGTTGCTTTGTTTCCTCTATTTCACTTTTTCCTCTCGATGAAAGCCATCCTCACTATAACTCAATTAATGATAAAGACAGAATTTTTCTTTTAAACTCTCATACACAAGTTTTAGAATTAACACTGTTTAGAATAATTAAAAGTTTCTCAACTAGAATCTACCAATAACTAAAATATTGCTATAATCTCCAAAGTCAGCTAGGAACCTTGATATTGCAATAATAATATTATTTTCTTTGAACTTAGAGCAAAATATCATTATTTAATACATCACAAGTTCAGAATTGTTTCCTATAATTCTGAAATAGGCAAATAAACTAGCTGGCTTACTTCTTTACCAGCACTATGGCAGAGAGTATTTAAAAATAAACAAGATTGAGGGGTGCCTGGGTGGCTCAATTGGTTAAGTGTCCGACTCTTGATTTTGGCTCAGGTCATAATCTCTGGGTCATGAGACTGAGCCCTGATTCTGGCTCCTCGCTGAGCGTGGAGCTTGCTTAAGATTCTCTCTCTCCCTCTCCCTCTTTCCACCTCCCCCACCCTCACATGCAAGATTGTGGAAAAGTTGTTTACCTGCTAACCATCATGCTATACTAACAAGAATACTTAGGAGCTGGGAGTCTGAAGATGAATAGGTCTGTGTGCTTAAATCCCAGCTCCATCCCTCTGGCCTCTGTGGTTTGGGTGTGATGTGACAAGAAATAATAGATACCATTTAATAAGCACATATTCTGTGCCACGTGATTTGTTAAGAACTTATCTCATGAAATCCTGTAACAACCTTGAGGTAATAGATAATATTATTCTAATTTTAAAGATGAGGAAATCAAGGCTTAGGTTAAATTATCATAAAGACTAGAGTTTAAAAAGAAATAAGACTTTCCTATAATTCAACAACATCAAAAACAAACAACTTATGATTAAAAAGTGGGCAGAAGAAATAGACACTGAACAGAAATGAAGAGACATTTTTCCAAATAAGTTATACAAATGTCCAATATACAAACAAAAAGATGCTCAACATCACAAAACATTAGGGAAATGCGGATCAAAACCACAATGAGATACCACTTCACACTCATGAGGATGGCTATTACAAAAAATTTTTCTTTAACAGAAAATAGTAAGTGTTGACAAGGATTTGAAGAAATTGAAACCCTTATGCACTGCCGATGGGACTGTAAAATGTGTAGCCACCACAGAAAACAGCATGATGGTTCCTCAAAAGATTAAACACAGAATTACCATATTATCCAGCAATACCACTTCTGAATATATACACAAAACAACTGAAAGCAGAAATGTGAACAGATATTTGTACACTCATGTTCATAGCAACATTATTCACAATCGCAAAAAGGTAGAAACAACTTAGATGTCCTTTGACAGAGGAATGGATAAACAAAATGTGATGTAGACATAAAACAGAATGTTATAAAAGATGAGGAGTTGGTATTTAATGGGTTTGGGAAGATGAAAAAGTTCTAGAGATAGTGGTATGGTTGCATACCAACATGACTATACGTAACACCACTGAACTGTATACTTAAAAGTTATTAAAATGGTAAGTTTTGTTATGCCTATTTTACCAAAATTTATAAAGGAAAAAAAAAAAGAAAGAAGACAAATATTTTAACCTGCCATGTCTCCCTTGAGACCCAAAAAACATCCCATGTAGTAAGGCTGGATGGGCATGTCCCTCTGCCCCTTAGAAAAGTTGTTTGGTAGAAATTATCAGAGAGAATACTGAGTTCCAAAATAGCAATTTATCTTGTCAATAAAGCTAGTACATATTGTGCTAGTGTTAGCACCGTCCTCACAGAGAGCAAATTATCCGGCTGTCAGATTTGTTCCATCAATGAATTATTTATTCAAAATATCATTAAATAAATATTGCAGGATTATATGTCCGTGAGTCATAAAGAGTAAAGCTACACAAAGAAAAGGGATTACTAATTCATTCATATTTCACTAAGACTTAGGTAGCACTTCTGTTCAAGCTACCAAACTGCACTATAAAATAACAGCAACAGCAAACTCAGAGATACATTTTTATTTACTTCCTCTGTTTCAGTGCTCAGAATGAACAGACCAGTAATAATTGCCCAACTTTTGTCTTGAAAAGACTCTGGGCACTGCATACAATACTCCATGAAATTTATTATTAATAATAATCTTCTAGAAATTGTATCATATTCATGCAATGCTCTACTGACAAATATACCATCCTCCAAATAATGAAAAGATCAGAATTAAGGCATTCACTATGAGCCTAATTCAGCCACCCTGTAGACTGTATTTGGAAGGTCTGAGTTACTCTGGGGATGGCTGTGCAGGGAGAGGTGGAAGGGCCCAGGGATTTGTACACCTCACTTTACTTCACAGCAATATTTGTAAGTTATGAGCTTCCTGGCTCAGTAAAGCAATATTTGTAAGTTATGAGCTTCCTGGCTCAGTAAAGCTCAGTAAAGCTTTACTTTTTTTTTTTTTTTTTTTGGAGAGCTCTCTTTTTTAAACTCTTTCTTTTTTTTCCATTGGTCTCTAAAATTCATTCTGCACTACATTTCATCTACATGAATTTTAGTGATTATTCACGAGGTTTGTGAGAAATCTAGGCACAGGACCAACTGTGATCATTATATATCCCCGCTGGTCTACCATCTGACTGTTTCTCATGGACTGCTCTTCTGTACCAGAGAAGGAGCCTACTGTGGGAGGGGCAGGGATGGTGGTGTCACTGTCCCAGTGTCCTTTCACTGTGCTCACCTTTCACTTGCTTGCTTTTGCAGACTAGAGCAAAAGACGTTATTTATATTCCTATTTGCCACAGGTTTCCTAGGAACAAAGTATGGAAGAATTGCAATCCAACAGAGTATGAGGGGATGTTTTGGGAAGAAAAATACAAAGCTGTCAAATGATAATGTCATAAAGACAAAACACCATTTGGTTTAAAAAGTGAAAGAAGAAAAATAGGATATGCAGCCTTTAAAAACAACCCCAAGATTTTTTAAAATTATGCATAAGGGAGAAGGAAATTAAGACATATGGCCTTTAAAAACAATATTCAGATTTTAAAATATTCTGCATGAAATAAGAAAGTGTTATTGTTTGTGACAAACACATGAAGGCCAGAGTTCAGTTTATAAACAAGGAAGTGTTTCTGTATTTTCTCTCTGTAATGAGGATATCATGTTAAGCATATTCAGTAACACTGTCATTCATTAACCTGGATTACTCTCGGCAAAGAAATTATCAAAGAATTCAAAGTCCAGTTCTCCTAGAAATTTAAGCCAGTCTTAGTTTATCTTTCAGAAAGAAAGAAAGAATTCAGTGAAACCTAGATGGGAGGGGGGGACAAAGGAGGGGGAATAAAGCTAGGGGTAAATGGGTGGTAGTAAAACCAATAAAAGTTATTGTTCCATTCCTGGAAGTCTGATATCAAGCAGAATAGCAATGTCGTATCTAGTTTTTCTCGAGCATACCTATTTTATTAAATGCTTCTTGTAGCTCTTCCAGTTCCTCCCGTGAAATGACAGTGGTACTGTTTTCCATCTTTGGAGAAAACACTACCTTCAGGTCTTTATATCTAGAAAAAGTAAAGTTATAAAAAGAACATTAGCCCTTTGGAAACATTTATCTAAGCAATACAGAGTACACAGACAGTACACTGTCTAGAAGAAAACACCTGAGAGGTCTGGATGACAAGGAACAAACAGGAACAGACCCTCCTGGGAACACCACTTCCCAGCACAGGTGGGAAATAAACATTTCAAGTTTGAGAGACATGTAGCATTTATAAATGTAAAGGAAGTGGTCAGAAAGTAAAATTTTAAGACATGACTAATGTCCAAAAAAGAAGAAAGCACATAATTTTTGAAATATAATTTATTCATTAAAATTTGTCATTTAAAGATAACATATTAAGTTGTGTGAAGCCCTCAAAGAGTATTACAGCTCGTGTGTCATTTGTGATCTGTATACCAACTTGCTTAGGAATTTTTGGTGTTTTTTCAAAATGACATTTCTGAATCTTACAGCTATTCTGGGGCCTGGTTCTAATCAAAGTATAATTAAATCTTTGGGGCTTTTGGAGGGTTTTTTGGTTTGTTTTTAAAGATTTTATTTATTTGACAGCAACATAGAAAGAGAACACAAGTAGGGAGAGTGGCAGACTTCCCGCTGAGCAAGGAGCCCAATGTGGGACTCGATTCCAGGACCCTAGGATTATGACCTGAGCCGAAGGCAGATGCTTAACCGACCGAGCCACTCAGGCGCCCCTAAATCTTTGGGTTTTAAAAAATATACCACTGCCCACTATTTAATCCTACTCTGTTTAAAAAAAAGAATCTTAAGAGCTCAAGTAATAGAGCTGATAAAGGGGTAAACGGAATTCATCTTACTCTCCAGATGCAGTTTCTTCCATCTTAGCATTAAATAATAAAATTTTATCGAATTCTCACTTTTAGAATATTTCACTATAGTTAAAACTATTTATAGGCATACTTATTTTGTGTTGAAAGAGATTAAACAGATCTTTTAGAATTTTTAAGCATAATCCCCTAGTTCTGCAAAATGCTAATTCTGTCACAGTTGGCTTTGAATCTCTGTGGTTTTGGTCATCCTGCATATCCTTCCCCATATTCAAAATGATTTCTACCGCTGGCCTCAAGTTTTAAAAATAGTGATCCAAGGTTGCACCTGGGTGGTGGCTCAGTCGGTTAAATAACTGCCTTAGGTTCAGGTCGTGATCCCGGGATCTCACTCTCACTTTCACTCTCAAATAAATAAATAAAATCCTTAAAAAAAAACAAAAACAAAAACAAAAAAAAACACAGTGATCCAACTTTCCCAACTGCAGTCCACAGAAAGGCTGCAAATTAATAGTCCTTGTGCTACCTCATATTTGAAAGGATAAATACCCCTGGGGTTCTATTCTTTTTGCTCATGCTTATTTGAATTTATGTGATTAGTTAACTACATAAACTATTGTTATTTTCCCACAATCAGACAAAACCAGCAGTTAAACTTATTGAAAAACCAATTACCCATACAATGTGTTTCTTATTTTTAAAACGTTATTTTTGTAAGTAATAAAGTTGCTTCAAGTCCTTTAGTGTTTAAATGAAAGAAATAGAAAAATATAGAGCTATCTTCAAGATACACTCTTAAGTGCTTGTTTCACCAGCACTAAAATTGGAACAATACAGAGAAAATTAGCATGGCCACTGTGCAAGGAAACACACAAATTCATGAAGCATTCCATACTTTTTTTAAAAGATATACTTTTTTTTTAAGATTTTATTTATTTACTTGACACAGAGAGAGAGAGCGCGCGCACAAGCAGGGGGAGCAGCAGAGGGAGAGGGAGAAGCAGGCTCCCTGCTGAGCAGGGAGCCCAATGCGGGGCTCAATCCCAGGACCCTGAGATCATGACCTGAACTGAAGGCAGACGCTCAACCAACCAAGCCATCTAGGTGTCCACAAAGATATACTCTTAAAAGAACAAAGCAAGGTACAGAAGAGTAAATATGGTGGGGGGATAGGAAGCTATATCAGTTGTATGGTTATAAACATTTCCAGAAGGATACCAAAAAAAGGTAACAGTGACTGACACTCTAGGGGAAATGAGAGATTGGCTGCAGAGTGGGAAAGGGGCTTACTTTTCCTTATACATGTTTCCATTCATCTTTGTAGACTATAAGCCTGTCAAAACCAAAATAACTGAAAACAAGACAGGCAATTGTGGTAAAACATTGGAAAAAATAAAATAAATACTCGTAGTCTGAAGGCACACATTGTTGGATACTGATAATGCTAAGATTGATATGCACAGTATCTACACGTTACAATTTAAAATAAGAGCACCTATTTTCCTTACAAAGCAAAATACTATGATTAAAATAGTAAATTAAATGGGGCACCTGGGTGGCTCAGTCCTTAGAGCATGCAACCCTTTATTTCAGGGTTGTGGATTCAAGTAGAGATTACTTTGAAAATATATTTTTTTAAAAAAGATTTTATTTATTTATTTGAGACAGAGAGAGGAAGTGAGAGCACGAGCAGGGCAGGGGGAAAGGGAGAAGCTGACTCTCTGCCAAGTAGGGAGCCTGACACAAGGCACTATCCCAGGACCCTGGGATCATGACCTGAGCTGAAGGCAGACACTTAATGGACTGGGCCACCCAGGTGCCCCAATATATACATTTTAAAAGACATCTGCCTCTGTAAAATTCTTTGTAAAGTTTTGAGGGGAAAAATTCTAGCTAGATCAACTCATATTTATCAAACACATAACTTGGTAATCCTGAAACACTGTAGAATGCAGTTATTAGAATTCACTTTGCAATTTTAGAAACGAAGAACCCATCACTTAACCAGTATCCAACACCTGGCATTGAAGCATTCCTACCTGGATGCCTGAGATGGCTCAGAAGAGCATAGTTTTGTTGTTGTTGTTGTTGTTTTGTTTTGTTTTCAAAGATTTTTTATTTATTTGAGAGAGAGAATGAGATAGAGAGCGAGCATGAGAGGGGAGAGGGTCAGAGGGAGAAGCAGACTCCCTGCTGAGCAGGGAGCCCGATGTGAGACTCGATCCCGGGACTCCAGGATCATGACCTGAGCCGAAGGCAGTCGCTTAACCAACTGAGCCACCCAGGCGCCAAGAAGAGCATAGTTTTTTAAAGTCAGTCCTGAAAAATGCAGCCTAGAAGGCAGCCAGGATCAAACCAGAGACCCACCAATGGGGCAGATTATGTTGAATTCTGTAGATAGATATACCTTCCCATAGATTTTGACGTGTACCATGTTTTCTTCAGTAATTCCGACACTGCTTTCCTCCTCTGCCTTTTTTTTTAGCCCATATAATTTAAAAGCTTTCTTTTACCAATTAAAGCCTTTTTTAGCCCCTCCCCTAATCCTCAAGGGTATCCTGACACAACCAAATATATATTTAGAAACTTAAATATATTCTAAGGATGAACTCAATTTAGATGAAATTTGATCTGATCTTTTATCCTTCCTCAAATTTCTAACCTCCCTGAACCTTTAAAAGCTTTACCAGAATTAGTCTAAGCAGCCATTTACGATTTACAGGATCTAGAACTCCAGGATCTAGAACAATTTCAGAGAAAAGGCATTAGGAACAACCCTGAGACCAACCAGATTCTGATGCCTTTCAATCAACTGTAAAGCTTCCAAATGTGAGGGACCAAAACTGTTTACACAGGCACTTTTTGGCTTCTTAGCTATTCTGTTTTCTTTCCTCCCACTGTGGCCCTAGCCCTGGTCATCTGATATTCTGAGTTCTTGAGGTAGCCACTGACCCACTGAGGCAGCCGTCCCCTAACTAGTCTAGTCTATCCTCCAAAATTCCCTTCTTCCCTTACTTCCTCCTTCTCTAGTAATAGAAAAAATAATGGCAAATATTTACTGAGGGCTTTCAATGGACCCAGAACTATGCTAACCTCCTCACCCACAAGCTTACTATGTATTTATCTGTTCTACTGATGGAACAAGCATCCTCTCTTAAATGTAAATTAGAGGGCTGCAGAGATTACCTGCCTAAGGAAGGCAGACAAAATAAGAGATTCAAAATCAAATCTGTTTTAGTGCCTCCAAGCTCTTAAATTCTACGTGTAGTTAATTAACATCCCTATTCTTGGCTGCAAGCATCACAGGTAGTTTTAAAGAAAAGTATGAGTGATTGATAAATCCTTACAGTGCTCATCAAATTTATATTTTAAGGGCATATTTATATTTTATTTTTTTAAAGATATACTTATTTATTCAGAGAGGGAGTGTCCATGTGCGTGCAGAGGGGGAGGGAGAAAGGGAAAGGGAGAAACAGTCTTAAACAGACTCCACACTGAGCACAGAGCCTGACAGGGGCCTCAATCTCACGACCCCGAGATCACAACCTGAGCCAAAACCGAGAGTCCCATGCTTTACTGACTGCGCCACCGAGGTTGCCTGTAGGGCAAATTTATATTTTAAAGCAAATGTGTGTTTTCTTTAGAATAACGGATGAATACATTATTATTTAATCAAGAGAATATACATCATTAAATAAATGAACCATATCTGTCTCTTAAAAACACAGTAACTGGAAAAAGCAAAGTACAACAGGATACATAGAGTATATGTACCAATTATTAAGGTCTAAAAACAGAAAATACTGTATATGTTGTATTTGTTTTGTATGTTGCCAAACATAGGTGCTAAAACTTAAAAACATATGGGAATGACATACAAATTTAGAATATTGGTTGTCCTATGGAGAGGGAGGTAAGGGGCACAGCTGGAGGCTGAAGCTCAATCATTACATTTTTTAAGAGAAATCTGAAGCAATTATGGCAAATTTTTTTTAAGATTTTATTTATTTGAGAGAGAGAGAAAGAAACAGCATGAGAGGGGAGAGGGTCAGAGGGAGAAGCAGGCTCCCCACTGAGCCGGGAGCCCGATGCGGGATTCGATCCCGGGACTCCAGGATCATGACCTGAGCTTCATGAAAGCAGTCGCTTAACCAACTGAGCCACCCAGGCACCCCTATGGCAAAACTTAACATCTGTTCAATCTGAGCATTAAGTA